ACAATTTATCGCTAGTTTCCTGAATTTCAACGTGGACGTGTCAAGCTCAGTGATGATCCCCGTCAAGGTCGTCCAAAAACTGCAGTCACCTAAGAAAACGTTGATGCTGTGCGTAAGCTGATTGAAGAAGATCGACATGTGATATACCGCGAAATTCAGGCAACTTTAGACATTGGCATGAGTCAAATACAAATAATCTTGCATGAACAATTAGGTGTAAAAAAGTTGTTTTCCCGATGGATACCGCATTCGCTCTGTGAAGAGCAAAAAGCGGCTCGCGTTACTTGGTGCGTCAGAACTCTCGGGAGATTACATGCAGGATCCTCAAATGCTGTATACAACATCGTATCAGGTGACGAATCATGGATATACGCGTACGAACCCGAAACAAAAAACCAGTCACGAGTTTGGGTGTTCGAAAATGAATTAAAGCCAACAAAAATTGTTCGTTCACGGAGTGTTGCAAAAAAAATGGTGGCCACGTTTGTCTCCAAAACCGGCCATGTTGCGACTATTCCTCTTGGGGGACAAAGAACGGTTAATGCAGATTAGTATGCTAGCATTTGTTTGCCACAGGTCGTTTCTGAACTCCGTAAAGAGAACTGCAACCGCCGCATCATCCTCCATCACGACAATGCGAGTTCTCACACCGCGCACTGAACAAAAGAGTTTTTAGAGCAAGAAAACATAGAATTATTAGTCCATCCGCCGTACAGCCCCGACCTAAGCCCTAATGATTTCTATACTTTCCCTAAAATAAAGAATAAATTGCGTGGTCAGAGATTTTCATCACCTGAAGAAGCTGTGGAAGCCTACAAAACGGCCATTTTGGAGACCCAAACTTCCGAATGCAATGGTTGCTTCAATGATTGGTTTCGTGTATGGAAAAATGTGTCAAATTTCGCGGAGAATACTTTAAAAAGCAATAAATACATTTTTAAATAGTAATGTTGTTTCACTTCCTTGATTCCCGAAATTTTCAGTGCCGCCCTCGTAGGAGACAAACGATTGTATACTGTCGTATCCATACAAAAGTATAACTAAAATAAATACCTTATTAAGCAAAAATTAACAATACTCTATTTTAATCTACATCGAAAACAAAATGCGCACTGTCTTAACGACTGCAAATCGCCAATTTTTGAGTAACAAACAATTTCGAAACAAAATCAAATGCATTGAAAGGCAGATGTTTTTTGTTTATACATTTTTATTTTCCAGTTTGGTGAAGTCCCGATTTGCACGGTTCCGTACATGCATAACGTCAGATCACTTTCTCACCGTTCACTCACTGACGCGTCCGAAGTCCGCACTCCTCCAACATAAATAACAACGTTCGCCGTACACAACACACGATTCGTCTCGGATACTTAGAAAAACAATAATATTAATATTAAACATAGTGAATTGCCCAGCTACCCATATAGTGAAGTTAGTATTAAGTTACTGTACAGTTCACACGCGACCTGCGTCTACGCATCTATCTACGCTCGCGGCGAGAGCGAAACACTGCTAGGATCCCCACTATCCGACAACTTACATATAGCCTACCGGTTATTATATTAATCAGATGTCTGCAACCTTACCGTATTACCGAAGCGAATAAGAGTTACGAGCTAACAACGGCTAGATATAATACAGGGGGGAGGGTGGTTATGATACAGCGGGGCGTCACGTCGCGCGCGGCATCAGTCGGCGTCGGCGTCGGCGTCGGGCGCGGTGTCGGCGTCGGCGTCGGGCGCGGTGTCGGCGTCGGCGTCGGCGTCGGCGTGGGGCCGGCGGCGCGAGGCCAGGTACTGGCGGTGCGCGTACTTGTTGAAGCGGCGCTTGGCCATGAACAGCGTGGCGATGGTTCGTGGCGCGAGGCGCACGGCGGCGGCGCGCGACGTTATACCGCCGCGCCGGCACTCGCCGCACGTGTAGTCCAGCACGTTCAGCGCCGACACCGTCTGCCTAACGCATTCTGTGTGCAAACGCAAATTAAGGTCACTCGCTGCTCATCGCCGGCCGCTGGAGCTGGATTGATAGAAGACGCGAGCTAGGAAAATGTAACGATGCAACGTTGACGTCTTATTTTAGGGTTGATTCTCGGCAAACAGTTATAATTTATACATCTATTTATTTATTACTCATTATTATTTCATACCTAACTGCTCTGAACTGAAATGAATGTATTTTTCGTCTCTTTGATACATAAACAAGGCTACATTACATTACGCAGCTACAAAACGTAAATTATGCAAACCCTCAATAATTTATAAAAATATTTTCCTCTAAAAATTTGAATCATGGGGATGAAATCATAGTCAAGTTATGGTGTACATTTTCTCAGCTCCCGTCATCTTCTACGTTCAGCTCCAGAGGACGATGAACCTTGGCTTCGATCTATACAAAATATGAGCTCATTGCGGTGCATAAACTGATGTATGTTTAAGACTCATTCTTGATATACATACTGTAGATAATACTCAAAGCACACGATTATTTATTATGCACTACGCGTACATATTTAGTTCACACTGCGGTTTACATAAAATAAGACTTCTAGAGATATTATGGCACTGATATAATTTCTTTTGGGCATTGGTGGAAAAAAGGTTTATTCTACTTTGTTCACCTGGGTGATCAAAGTAGATTTTTTAGTGTCCTCATTGCACCCAACTCTATTTTCCAGGTGAAGAGTCGACTAAAGCGGTCGCCTTGTATTTATGCGGGTGATATAAGTCCACTTGATCAATGAAAAAAGTAGCATCTGTTCACCTGGGTGTATGGTGAACAAACGCGACCGCTTTAGTAGACTAATTCACCTGGGTGAAATGGCTCCGAGGTGAAATGGGGACACTAAAAATTTACTTTTTTCACCCAGAACAAAGTGGAATAAACCGTAAAAAACCTGCTTACCATAAGTTCCCTGTAAGTCTGTAACATTATTCAAGACAGCCTACGCACCGCAAAGATCTCGACATTCGACTATCGCCTAGGCCTAACAACAACGCATGGCACACACAAACTGCAATTCCTCGGAGTTCCCTCGTCGATTCATTTGTATGTTCCACGTTCTACCGTCTATCACGACCACTGTGTATGTACATGCTTACACGGATCTAACACATCTAACAAAAGCCTCCTAACGATATATCCGTTACGAGTTTACAGTCAGGCTGGTTCAACATTCTTGAGAGTCGAAATGAAGTGACAGACAAGCAAGCGAAATCATTAGCGAGATGTGATCAGCTCACAAAGGAGAACTGTATGATGCGATTGAAACATGCAGTAAATGGGATCGGGCGAAGCGAAATGTTAGGATAACATTTTAACTATACATTACAGGTACGGAACAAAATAAAACCCCCACTGTGGGATAATGCGAGCAAATAAAACGGTGAGGCTTAGAACGACGTGGGAAACATTTAGTTGGTAAATAGGACTTGATATGTTGCTAATCCAGATAATATTCTATGGACATAGAACAAAAACATACATCTCATAGTTTGCGTTCTTCTTTAACTTATACGCTTAAAATTTTGGCACGGGTCTTAATATTACTTTTAAGGTTAATCATGTGATGTAAGTACTGTTAGTAAATATGTAAGCATGGATTAGCAACCTTTTTAAAGATTTGGTCAAAGACTAACATAGCATACAGTCTTGGACCAAAACCTGTTCATAGTTTATGCATTTTCAGAGCTGATATAGACGAAAAGAACTCTATTTTACTGTTAAGAGCGAATTTGTAAAATGTTATAATGAGGGTTTTCGCGATTGAAAAATCCGCCAGATGGCAATACGTAGACGCGAGGTCCAAATGCTGCATGATTGGTTATTTTTGACATGACATTGACAGATATGTCAAAATCCACCAATCACGCAGCAGTCAGACCCTACATCCACGTCCCGCCATCTGGCGGATTTTTCAATCGCGAAAACCCTCATTGAAGTGAAAAACAAATGAAAATCGTTTGATATTTCACAAGTGTTCGCAGTTCAAAAAATGCACAGACTACCCCAACGTTAGTGCCCCCTACGCCTGCTGCCCACACCCGCGTTACCATGACGTACCTTGATGCAGTTGCCTATCGCAGAGTTTACAAATGACGAGCTGCATTGTCCCCTTGGGGCCGATGAAGGAGCGCTCGCACAGCGGGCAGTAGCGACCGATGCGATACGCCCTACGCACGCACACAACGCAAGCACCGGAACACAGAAACACGGCATTAGTACTCACGGCTGGCCGGCACGGGCGTAACGGGCCGCAAGCGAATGTCGACTCTCTCTGGCAAACGTTACGATTGAGTTTGATTTTACTCTGGCAGAAATAAATTTACTTTTTAAATTAGTTCTTTTGCATTATGGATTATATCCCACCGTAGCGCGTAAAGCGCCAATGACAGGCAGTTAGAGAAATACACCTTTAGTATTGGAAAAGTTCAATAGTTGGCTTTGATTATTTTGAGTCAGGTGGTTATTTTGAGTATTTACGAACCACAGATTTTCATTGAGTTCAATTATTTCAATAATGACACTTTTTGTGCCAGATAATCACTGGGCTAATTACTTATGCACTGACGCTCCTGATACTTTTGTGTTTAGAAATTATTGATGGAGTAACTAAAAATGTGATATTTTCAGAATTAGTTCAGTATATTTTTATTAGTGCCAGTTATTCAATTATACATATTTTTTCTAGTATAGATAGTTTGCCAGAGAGAGAGCGTGAGAAGTTACGCCAATGCGTGAGGCCTGCGCGTGACGCGCGCTTTACTACTTATCTCCTATTGGCTCTAATGTACGCCCCTGTCGCACTTACTTCGTACCAGTTTGCATAAGTGCGACAGAGAACAATATGAATTTGTTGTATATTTTGAAGTGTTACTTAAACAAAAAAAAGATTGTAATCAATAAATTTTGAATGTAACAGTAAGGTGTACTTGTGAGTGTTATCTAATTTTGATTTACTTATAATATTACTTATTATACTAAAAATAAAAACAATTTGTGTAATGTAATAATTATGCTAAGTCATAGTAGAATATACGATACATACATAATAACATTTATTCTATAATTATGTGCAAAATAACCGTGTGTAGAGCCAGAAGACAAGTAATAAAATATTCAGAGTTAGTGAACGCCTGGGGAAATCTTTCTATGCCCTGTTAGTCAGTACAAATGGTGATGATGAGTTAGTCGGGGTCTGCAATGGCTGGTGAGCGACGCCACCCGCGATCATTGAGCAATACTTCCATCAAATCGTAAAGAGAAGCGAATGTTCAAAATAAACACCTATGTATTGCATCAATTTTAGTTAAGAATAGAAATACAATTACCAATAACAGTAAAGATACGGAAGGAACAGAAAAGTAGGTGTTTTCCTGTATAATAACAGTGCTGAGAAGAAAGTGCTGTATTTGAACATGGTGCAAATATATTTTAGAGTTTTACGCGCCCACCGCCCATAGTTTTACTAATTTAATACCACTTTGCTGTTCTTTGACGTATGAATTTGTCTGCTCGGAATTAAAAAATGAGTGGCTATACGAAATTATGAAAAAATAATAAACACTAACAGAGCAAACAACTCCATAATAACGACTGTCTAAAACTTATGTTAGCATGCAACTTATCAAATACGGTAGGGGGATGTGCTGAGTAAGTTACGCTGCTGGGGCATAGAGAAACATTCTGCGGGGTCCAAACTCTACGAGGAACCAGAAACAAGCATGTCGACAGAGTGAAGGCAGACGTCGAACACAACGGAGCAGCCCGTGTTAGTCCACATGAACACAATGAGATGACGTGAGTAACTACCAAGACCAGTCAAGTAAACAAATGACACATATATCATCGAAACACTTGTATAAAACTTGTGTACTTTTCGTGAGCGTCCCTCGCTACATATTCTTCTTGATAATGGAACTAAACGGGTTCACTTGTTGATGCCCCTCTTGGATTTACTTGAAAAACAACACCGGAAACATTAAAGAACTTTCATCACACTGTCTCGGGGAGAGCGATCGTCGAAAGTTTAACAACAATTGATTCTTCACAAGATTGTGTCATTGCATTATTTTTGTAAGTTACTTATTAGTCAAAAAGGAACAAAAACCAAATAGTTACATTTTAGTGAAGAACCCAAAGTGAAAGGCACATTTGTATTAAAATCAGTTGAAAATTCTCAGCAACAAAAAATTGGGATATTTTTATCACAAACTTAAAATCACAAGAAAATGTTTTCATGAATATGTAATAGTATTGGGAAAATACTAACGAAGTAAGATAAGTTTGTGATAAATAATAAATAAAAAATTAAATTAAAAAGAAACACGTGTGAGGTGATCAAAAGTCGTAACACAGCAAAAACAAATTATGCTTTGTTTAAATTAAAAAATATAAATTTCTACGTAAAACTTTCTCTGGTAATCATCAAAATATCTACAGAGGTTTGAAAGGTAAGCAAGATGAATTGGAATGACGGTCTCTAATGAAACTAATCATGGTTTCTTATTTGAAAAAATCTGGTCTCAGGTGGAACCAATCTAATGTAATTTTTATATAAAAACAGTTGTCATCCATTATATTTTATTTAAAGGGATTATACTCGATGTTATCTAATTATGATATCCGACTTGATCACTCACACATGGATATTCATATTCTATAGGTTTGCATAATTTTCAACAAGCTGATTTATGCGAAACAAAATAAGATATAAAAACATTAGTTAAAAAGACAAAACATTGTAAAAAATAGAAATATAAGTAGTAAAATAAAATATAATCTTTAAATCAGCTGGTTACAAATTGCTAAATTGGGATGGCTCACAGGAGATACGAGAGGAAACTTAAAAGTACAGTCGACAGCAGAATTTACTAGCAAGTATTATATCAATAGAACAATATTTGTGTTTAATTAGTATTTTATACTAAACTATTTTACCCGCGTAACTCCTCACTAAGAGCCGTCAAAACACTCGACTGATCATACTAAATGTATGAGAATTGGGAGTAAATGGAACTAGATTTGCTATTTTAAAAACTGATTTCAGCTGCAACGCATTATGAAAACAACATACATGTAATATATCAGCTTGAAATAAGTATTATTCGTATCGAATTTATCTTGATAACGAACTATTTTTTTTTGCTAGTTTTCATAATAAGGCATTATTAATTAATATTTCATAATATAGAGATCGGATATGTTATTGCTTTTAATGGTTTTTGAAAAATATTATTTTTATCAATTAATTAATAAAACTGTGAATCATCTTTTCGTGTAACATAAAAATGGCTTTTAGCCATTAAAGAAACAGATAAATTAAAATAAAACTGTAACTGGCTTTTTTTAAGAATCTCGACTTTCGTGGTTTGCTTTTTATAAGGTTCTGCAGGAGTTTCTTTTAAATTGCGTAGAAAATTGGATTCCAGATAACCTAAAGAATATTTTTACGTCACGCGTTTCGTCTGTGTCAATATAGCAGATATAAAGATATGAGAGGATTTGGTCAACAACAATTATCGTGTGGCGGTCAGTCATCATCATCAGGTGATTTATGCCCGTTTTTACCATCATTCCCTAATATTTAAGTGACTCCTGTGAAAACAAAATTCTTGTTATATGTTACCATAGGGGTCACTTAATTAGGGATTGATGGTGAAAACGGGCATTAAGTCTTTCTGCACGAGGTTGTCCGCCTCTGATAGTTATAAATTGCAAGAAGCAATTCAAAGATTGGCGGGTTGGGGAGGCCTATGCCTGTTTTCACCATCAATCCCTAATTTTTAAGTGACCCCTATGGTAACAATTTCTTAACAAATAACAGGAGTTTTGTTTACATAGGGGTCACTTAAAAATTAGGTATTGATGGTGAAAACAGGCACTAATGCCATCAACGGGACTACAAAAGTCCCAGAAAACAAATCCCGAAAGGTCATTCCCCTTAAAAAGTGCCAGACAACAGTTTCAAAAACAAAACACGCTACACGAAAAGGTCATTCACTCTTCCGCATGACGCCGCGAGGGTACTGACCTGGCGCACGGCGTGCACAGCGAGTGCGAGTACACCTTGTGGCCGCCCGGCCCGCGCCGCGTCTGCGGGTGCCACTCGGGCCCGCCCGCGTCGCGCGACCCGCACGACCGGCACACGGCGCACTCCACGCAGTACCAGCGCCCTGGAAAAGTGAGGAAGGTGTCAAGCATCTAAATTATTAGCATTCAGTGTGCTTAGTGCGAGTTTATACTATCGCTAGTGACTCGGTAAAAAAAATTCATGAAATGCATGACAGATTGTATAGCGTCCCTAGCACATACTTTGAAGAACTAAAATATTCGTAGATTTTTGGCGCACTCGCTAGCATCCTACAATCCAGACTTGAAATAAAACCCTCTGTACAAAATTATGCACAGATTAATTTATTGCTATCAGACCCAGAGACTTTCTTCTAGCACAAGGCCGCGGCATACAAAGTGGCATGTTTCTTCGTTCGTCACAGCTGATTTTGACAGTTTTTTCCTTTTTCTGGTTGGCAACATTGATGCCATAGGCAATATAGACTAATCAAGTTATTTTGAGTAAAACTAGTCGCGGGAAGATTCGAAAACACAATAGAAGACTTTAAAGAATATGTACAAAAAATTGTACAGTGGGCCGTTACGACTAAAACATTATTACAAAGCTGTGACTGACAGAGGTATTTTATTATGAGCAAAATTTTGTACGCGGGCTCTTAGGGGGCTAGCGACGACGTTCAATGCAAACTCGCACTTATTTTAACACACAGGTTCATGACGTTTCGTTACGCGGTCTCATTTTTCTGTAGAATTTATGCCGCAAGCGATCCGGCGCAGCTGAGCGATGTGTCGAATGGGACGGCCAATAGGCGCCATTTCGAGCTCTCACAGCTCACATCTCCGCTACACAGCTCCTCTCCTCTGCTTTAGTGGAAATAACCAACCAGTTTCACGACATAGCTCATCGCCTCCACTTCGGTGGAAACCGGGCCATAGACTGCACCTCCTTCTTATTCTACCCACCTTGCGAGGAGGCGGCGGCGGGCGCACAGCTAGCGTGGTAGCCGCGGTCGCACAGCGAGCAGCACAGCAGTGCGCCGGGCTGTGCGCAGGCGCCGCAGCGCTTGCAGCCGCTGCACGCCCACGCGTACTCGCGGCACTTGCGCACAGTGTCCGCGCTCAGATCCGTGCAGCCCGGGTGCACTGCAATATAATATACAAGGTATAAATACTAAAAACATAAGTTGGAACAGCACAAAAAGTTAAAAGAGCATAGTCAACGGCTGTAAAGCCTTAGAGGACGATCAGCGACATTTTACACTGTGATGGGTCTACACTAAACTCGCGTGAGCTGCTCACACACGAGTGTTTGTATCGAAAAATTGTACGAGCAGCGTGACGTGACATGGACGCGTGCAACATGTTTCTACACACGCGGCGGGGGGAGATAGACACCACAAGCAGTGTACTGTAGATGTAGCGCTAACTCAATATAATAAGTTACTTAGGTATGGAAGCGGCACGAGAGCGGTGATATTGACATATTATGACGTGTCAGAGCAACGAAAAAAATCTCAAGTCTCGCTAACGTTTGACTGTCACAATATCACCCTCTCGTGCCGCTCCTATACCTCAGGCACTGATTTGAGTTAAGCGCTAAACGGTAGACGGTAGGTCGCTGAGCGCAGGACCGCATCGAAAATCCGGAACGGTGAAAATATGGTGGTTGCACGAAACTTATTTTGAGAGTTAAAATTGTCACGTTATCGTTTAATTCGAAGATTAAGTATCGAATTTTATCGAATACGCAAACGATTCGAAGACGAAAGTTGTTCATGCTAGAGGTACTGAACAGACGGTTAAACGCAACTGCAACGAAACTGCAACTGCAGTTACTTTTGAGTTGCATCTAAGTTTCTGCCATAGCGTCCGTTGAGAGACCACACATGACGCGACCAGTTTGAAACTTTCGTTGCAGTTGCGTTTCACCGTCTGTTCTGGGCCTTAGAGTACAAGCAGAAACTATAATGTATTTCGCGGCAGTATCACGGCAGGTGTCGGCGTCGTCGCGGCTGGCGGAGCGGAGCGCCTCTCCGCTTGGCTGTCGCTCCGCTTGCTGTCGTCAGCTACACGGCCGCTACACCTGGTACTGCGACTCACGCTTGGCGCTGCAGACGGTGCAGACGAGGAAGCGCTCGTGCGTGTGCTTGCGGTTGGCGGAGCGGAGCGCCTCTCCGCTTGCTGTCGCTCCGCTCGCTGTCGTCAGCTACACGGCCGCTACACCTGGTACTGCGACTCACGCTTGGCGCTGCAGACGGTGCAGACGAGGAAGCGCTCGTGCGTGTGCTTGCGGTTGGCGGAGCGGAGCGCCTCTCCGCTTGCTGTCGCTCCGCTCGCTGTCGTCAGCTACACGGCCGCTACACCTGGTACTGCGACTCACGCTTGGCGCTGCAGACGGTGCAGACGAGGAAGCGCTCGTGCGTGTGCTTGCGGTTGGCGGAGCGGAGCGCCTCTCCGCTTGCTGTCGCTCCGCTCGCTGTCGTCAGCTACACGGCCGCTACACCTGGTACTGCGACTCACGCTTGGCGCTGCAGACGGTGCAGACGAGGAAGCGCTCGTGCGTGTGCTTGCGGTTGGCGGAGCGGAGCGCCTCTCCGCTTGCTGTCGCTCCGCTCGCTGTCGTCAGCTACACGGCCGCTACACCTGGTACTGCGACTCACGCTTGGCGCTGCAGACGGTGCAGACGAGGAAGCGCTCGTGCGTGTGCTTGCGGTTGGCGGAGCGGAGCGCCTCTCCGCTTGCTGTCGCTCCGCTCGCTGTCGTCAGCTACACGGCCGCTACACCTGGTACTGCGACTCACGCTTGGCGCTGCAGACGGTGCAGACGAGGAAGCGCTCGTGCGTGTGCTTGCGGTTGGCGGAGCGGAGCGCCTCTCCGCTTGCTGTCGCTCCGCTCGCTGTCGTCAGCTACACGGCCGCTACACCTGGCACTGCGACTCACGCTTGGCGCTGCAGACGGTGCAGACGAGGAAGCGCTCGTGCGTGTGCTTGCGGTTGGCGGAGCGGAGCGCCTCTCCGCTTGCTGTCGCTCCGCTCGCTGTCGTCAGCTACACGGCCGCTACACCTGGCACTGCGACTCACGCTTGGCGCTGCAGACGGTGCAGACGAGGAAGCGCTCGTGCGTGTGCTTGCGGTTGGCCTCGAGCGTGCGCTTGCAGGCGCGGCAGGTGTCGGCGTCGTCGCGGCTGGCGGAGCGCGAGCGTCCGCTCTCCGCTTGGCTGTTGCTCCGCTTCACTTTCGTCAGCTTTTTCCGCTGGAATGTGAAATGTTCATGTTATTGACATTCCTGTTCTCATCGTAAAAGTAAGGCATCTTTATACATTGGCCAAACTAGGATGGTAATTTTCACAGTTCACACATTATTATGTTTCATATTTCTCTCATTTTACGTACACCACTGATAATGTTAAACTTTATTGACGGGTGCTGCTCAGCGCACATATTATCGTGGTGCCACTATACCACCACAGACTACCGGAAATAAAATTGAATAAAAAAAATTGTATAAATACCGTAATGTATTGGTTATGTATGTTGCAGCGTTTATTCTCAGCACATGACAAGTTTGTTTCCAAGCATTAGTAGGGCAAAAAATAATGAGACATGTAAACGCTCCATAAGGTTCCACTTTATAACTCGTCTTATTTAAAAATGGGACAAAACAAGACGGCATCGACGAGCATTGCCAACAACAAAAAAAGAAGAAGAAAGGTTCCTTATGAGCATTTTAACGAGTTTCAACATTCATAATTTGACATGTAATCTAAATATCGAAATAAAAATAACTCACAAGGCGACTGACTGACTGACATAGTGATCTATCGGGCTGAAATTTGGCATGCAGGTAGATGTTATGATGTAGGCATCCGCTAAGAAAGGATTTTACGAAACTCCACCCCTAAGGGGATAAAACGGGATCCACGCGGACGAAGTCGTGGGCGACCGCTAGTTAATATTATAAATTCTTATTCTTATTCTTACCTTGGCGGGCTGTGGTTCGGAGTCTTGGCTGCAGTCGGAGCGCTCGGAGTCGGGCTCGGAGTCAGACGATGTTTCAGGCGCCGGCGGCGCGGGCGGCGCCTCTAACGCCGTGTTCAAAGGGAAGTACCTGCGAGAGGGACAAATATTACAGAGATTGGTTATTTAGTTAAATAAACACTGTTTTTAGTTCGCTGTTGTTTTATTTTCTCTTACAATTACACAGACATGTTTTTCACCACAGACAAAAAGTTTTTTTTTTTTTTTTTTTTTTTTTTTTTTTTTGGTCTTGTGAAATGTAGTAAGGTATGATGTCTACGTCCACATTTTTTGCAATTTGTGCTTTGTCTGCAATGTGACACAGAGTGACCTTTTATTAAGCAATTGAAGCATATGTTGTTTTTCTTGACATAATCTTGGCGTTCAGAAACAGGTAATGCAGAAAACTCTTTACAGTGGCAAATGTAATGATTTTGTGAGCAGTAAGTACAAGTGCTTTCGACTTCAGTGGCAAAACTTTTCACTGTAGTTGTCTTTGGTGTATGCTGAACAGATTTTGATGCATCTTTTTTATAAACTTCTCGAGGTTGTGACAGATTAACCATTTCCATTGTTCGAAATCGTTTTTCAAGGAAGTTACTTAGTTCTTCATATGTGGGAATATTTGTAGAATTTTCTAAAGACTGCTCCCAAAGTTTGTGAGATTCTATGTCTAACTTTGAGACTATGATATGTACCACTATTGCATTCCAGGAATCTATCTCTATGTTTTTTAGTGAGGTAAGACATTGGCTAGTATTATCTAATAAATCTTTAATACCTTTGGCAGACTCTGTTGTTAGTTTTTTCTGAGATAGAAATCTACTGAGAATATTATTCACAATCACTCGCTTATTTTCATATCTTTCATTTAGCTTTTTCCATGCATCATCATAGTTAGCCTCAGTTAATGAATAATTTTTGAGTAACTGTTCGGCTTCTCCTGATAAACTGGATTTTAGATAATGATGTTTTTCAATTTTTGTTAAGCGATCATTGCAATGTATTAGTGAGATAAAAAGGTCTCTATAACTCATCCATGCATTATAATCTCCTGAAAATTGCGGTATCGTTATTGATGGAAGTTTTGGTCTCATTTTTGAAATCTCAGCAGAGGTTATGTCAAGCTCACTAACTGTGGTTGTGGTTGATGTAATATCATATTTCTTGTCTTTTAGCCATGTTTTCAGGTCCAAGTAATTTTCCTCTGTGCATTCGTAGTTTTTCTCAATGTCGAAATTATAATCTTTTTTTGAGGTTTCGTTGTTTATTATTGCTGTCAATGACTCGTAACTTTTAGTGTACTCACACCAATAATCTCTTAATGCTTCCAAGCGGGTGTCGATATAACCTTTTGTTCTCTTGTCTTTAGGTGATTTTCTCGTATTGGTGGAAAGTTTCTCAATCTTTGTAGAGTTTTGGTTCATCACCATGATGTGTTTTGTTACACGTTCCGCCATTTTCACAAACTCGTATTTTATAGTTATGTTCCACTTTGACACTGATTTCAACAATAATTACACATTACTTTGATTACTATCCGGTTCTCAGAAGGACCATTTGGTTATTTAGTTAAATAAACACTGTTTTTAGTTCGCTGTTGTTTTATTTTCTCTTACAATTACACAGACATGTTTTTCACCACAGACAAAAAGTTTTTTTTTTTTTTTTTTTTTTTTTTTTTTTTTACGGTCCGATAGGGAATAATTCATCCAGAGATTGTTTTGAAAACCGAATAGCGCGCATACGAAGTTCATTCCGAAAGGTTGGCTAAACGCCCGCGATTCGCTCCTATTATGTTGTCTGCACCGACACGGCCACAGCCAATAGGAGCGCTTCCCGCCTACGCGCCGGTATCGGACCGCGCTCTTCGCGCCTCACGCGACTATTGGTGTTTTCTGAATTAAACGAACGTTATAAGTTGATTGTTTCACTATTGTGGTTTCGCGGCGGAGGTGTGCTAAGGGACCCCCACCACACTTAGCGTCTATCGAGTGTCACCGTCTTGCTAGCGCCTACGCAGCGTCGCTGCAACGCAACTCTTTCACCGCGTTGTTGCTAGTCCGAAAAAACGTGGCGTTAGAGTCGCGTAAATCCGGCATTTGGAAGACGTTCAGTTATATTGTCGCCGCATCGACGGCAAGACGACGACGCGGTGTTGGCTCAGTTACCATGATGTAACCTTTTCACCCCGCTATTGCGTTACTTGTTCGCGTCGACGTTGCGCAAGCGCTGACTAGACAACAACGTTTGAAAGACACTAGTGTGGGGGAGGCCTAACTGGCTTTAAGGTTGACTGGAATTTTAGTGACGTCACGTACGCAACAGTGTGTGTAAAAGTGCTTTTTAAAAGCCTATTTGCAAAAATAAATGAATTTTATTAAAATTTTATATAAAGAGCCTGTGCTGGATACCCTGCATTAATTCCAGTAATTTTTAAAGAATATTTCCATGAATTAGAATATTGAGGAATGCCGTCAAGAAGCTTCCCGAACTGAGCACTGTTTCAATCATTGTAATTAGGCTTAGTTGAAAGTGAGACTTAGAAAAAATGTCCAAGTGTTAGTGACCTCACAGTCGAAGTCGGGATCTGTAATCTCACACTCGATAGATTTGGTGAAATCATAGGTAGTTAGTAGTTAGGCCAGGGCCTCTTCCGAGGGGGCCCGGGATATTTTGCAAGCCCTGCCTTCCTATAGTTACGCCTTTGGGTATTTGTCCAGCAGTGGAAAGAGAGCATTCTATTATAGTTTACCTGAGCTGCGCGGCGGTGTAGGCGCGGTAGGAGTGCTGGTACTGGCCGGGCAGCAGCGCGTGCGGGTAGAGGCCGGCGGGCGGGCGGGCGGGCGCGGGCGCGCGCGGGGGGCGGCGCGTGTGTAGCGCCATGCTCTGGAGGTCGGCGCAGGCGGGGCGCCGGATCACGTTGAGGCGCGCGTTCCATTCGGCTGCTGACGCTATCGCTGCTGCTGCTAAGTCCTGGTGAGAATATTGTTGACAGTCAAGAGATGTAAAACTAGTAAATAAATTGAAGGCGTGAGCGGACAAAGGTGTTATCTGACAAAACTGAAGAATCGACTTTTTTGCATGAACATAGGTTTTAAGTGATGATAAATCGACTAATGAGCTCAAAATACGCAATTTTGTTACGTGTCAAACCTTAACGAAGGTGTTATCTGACAAGCATTCATACATTTCAGGATTCAAATGTGCTATGAGCACATTAACATTTTCAAATACTCATAACTCATTTTGTTAGTTAAGACCTTTGTCCACTCACCCCTTTCAAATCTTATGACATAAGTACAAAACAGACTTCAGACTATAAAATTCCACTGCAAACACTGAATACGAAAGTTGGAAGTATCCAAGCGTGACGCGCAACCTGCAGTTGCGGCATTTTTGTTTCACGTAGCAGTACCTGCTGCGGTTACAAACGACACCCCGTCTCTGACATAAACTTTACAAAGACATCATCATTGTTCTACGACTGTCTCATAACAGATATAAATAAACCCAATTTTTTTCTAATACAATAAACTTCGTGGATAAGAGAGTAGAAGAATCTGACCTGTAAGAATCTGAAATAACTTATAACAGAAAATAATTCAATAGGCAGTGACGCTTATGTTCACGTTATATCACTTTCACACAAACGCAATGTTAAAAGTAAATGGAAATGATCGACTTATGAACGATCGTATAGTCTGAACTTAGCCTAAACGCTCGAGCTATTGATGTATACAGCCCCAAAATAGCAAACACAATCACGTCTTAAGAGCGTTTACGCCGTTTGGCGCAAAAACAGTACTTTTTCAACTCGTTACAATCATTAACCAGTAATACTACAAATATGTTATAGGCATAAATAGTTAGGCAATTTCGTCGTCTAAATAGTTAATTGAGAAAATATTGCGATTAGTTTAGTATTTAAGAATTCTATCAAGATAAGTCCACACAGGTTTTGTAAATTTCCACTTTAGCGTCAGTTTACAAGCTGAAACTTTTATAAAAATACTGTGAAAACGATTTAAAAAACATTTATATCCTATAGCATAGATCTTTGGGCAAATAGTTATCTGAGAAAAATTTTAGATTTAAGCATTTTACAATAAGAAATCACAAATTAAAAGAACGTGAAATACCCAAAAATCAAAGTGATTTTTTCACCAATATTCTTCCTTTATTCAACATAAAAATAGCTTAATATAATAAAACAACATCTTCTTTAAAATATTTACTTTGAAACGATATTTAATTCATTGTTATTGTTTTGCTATAAACATTTGAAAACTATTAAAAAACGCCGCGCGCGAATCATTTCCAATGATGCCCCTTGAAACGCCGCGCTTCGCGTAAACGCTCTTAATACTCCGTCGCTGTCGAAGCGCCACTACTCTAGTGTCCCTTGGACTTGCATGAGACCTTATACACGACACTAACTCGTCTTGTTTTCTCTGGGTCTACATTATATCTACAACTCAACGCAGACTCGTGGCAGGCGATGCCATAAGTAATTTTTAAAACAGAGAAGCACACTCACCAATATTTGATTAATTATTACGTATTATAAACAACGCTGCCTGCCTCTGTGTGACGTCATCCATAACCAGTGTGAGTGCGAGAGAGAACGTGATATGCACTGTTTTAGTATTACGCCACCTGTCACGAGTCTGCGCTGAGTATACTACTTCACTTGCGTCTACTGACACCTGCATAAATATATCCCACACTGACCTGTCTGGTCTTCTCCGGGTCGGGTTTGGGCGGCTCGTGTTTCGGCTCGGGTTTCGGCTCGGGCTTCGGCTCGGGCCGCTCCTCGGCGTCGCGCTGCTTGTGCCGCTGGTGCGCTCGGAACTCCTCGTACTTGTGCGGGTAGTCCGACAGCATTATGTCGAGTACTTCGCTCGCGTCTACTGCGGTCAGGCCTGGGGTAAAATGGGTTAATGTTAAAACGTTGGATTGGACACCATAGCTACAATAAATAATAAAGATACGTAATGACATGTAATTACACAACTAGAATTAGACCGCGCGCGAGTTGACAGCAGCTTTTTGAACATGCTTATGGCACTCTGTATTTAGCTTGTGTGCGAAGAGTACATCTCTAAATTATTTAGATACGTTATGTTGACTGCTAGAATGCTATATTATTGTTGTAAGTTTCCACTAGGTCCTACGGGACTGATTAATTTGAACCGTTTCAGTATCCATGAGCAGAATGGGCATAACTAAGTAAGAAGTAAATTGTACCATACCAAAAATGAATATTTTAGAAATTGCAAACTGATAAATACGTTTGTAATTTAAATATCTATCGCAGTTTCTAGCTTTCCTGAAATAAATTCTTGAAGTGACAAGCGTCAAAAATCAATACGGGTTTTTTTCTCACCGGCCAGAATCTTACGGCGTCAGAACCAAGGAGACCATTGAACAACTTTTTGAGTGATGATTGGAAACTCGTGTAAACTAAATGCAAACCGCCGTAACAGGGCGTCTACTGAGGTCTGTATGGGCACAGGCCCACACGGTACTGGATACAGATCCAGCACCTTTCTGCCACTTTTATGAGGTCATCTGTCCACCACCGAAGCCCAAAAGTTAACCGGCAGGGAATGCTTTGTGGTATTAATGCCAAAGTATTATTACCGGTGTTTTTCTATGGAAAGTGAAATGTATTTGCAATAGGCTAGTTTCCTAAAAAAATATTTTAGTCCGTCAATTTTAATTAAAAAAAAATATTGGACACGAATATTTTTAACTAGCTTTCCGCCCGCGGCTTCGCCCGCGTGGAATTTTGTCTGTCACAGAAAAACTTTATCGCGCGCGTCCCTGTTTCAAAAACCGGGATAAAAACTATCCTATGTTCTTTCCCGGGACTCAAACTATCTCTATGCCAAATTTCATCAAAATCGGTTGCGAGGTTTAAGCGGGAAAGCGTAACAGACAGACAGAGTTACTTTCGCATTTATAATATTAGTTGGGATATTAGTTGGGATTGTCAATCAAACAAATAATTAATAAAAGTTTATTTAACAAAGTTATAGTGCGTTGAAGTTCCGCGCGACGTCTCAAAGTGCTGCACTTTTACGCACTCACTGACGTCACGGGCCTTTTTTTACGACGACCAGATCGTCGGTCCACCTAGTGGGAGGCCTGCCCACGCTACGTCTTCCGGCTCGAATAAAGTATTCTTATTCTGTAGTGAGCACTCACCGCGTTCGGCGAGCGCGTCGCGCACAAGCCCCAGCGCGATGACGTGGTCGCGCTCGGGCCCGGTTATGGCGCGGCGCTGTAGTTCGGGGTAGCGCTTCCTGAAGCCTTTCACGCCCAGGAACATTGCCACTTGCTCTTGGATCATCATCACCTGGAACAATATGGGTATTTAAAGAAACTGTTCGAAGCATCCGTTGCATTGTTTTTTACAGATCAAAGTGATTGTGGTACAGAAGGCTTTGTCCGGAACCCCACAGTTATTTATTTATTAGGTACACCAAAGTCACATACATACAGTTCATACATTTTAACATGTTAACATTGTAACATGTACAGTTCCCTCCTAATGAGGGTTTTCACGATTGAAAAAATCCGCCAGATGGCAATACGTAAACGCGAGGTCCAAATGCTGCATTATTAGTTATTTTTGACATTACATTGACAGATATGTCAAAATCCACCAATCACGCAGCATTTGAACCTCGAGTCTACGTATTGCCATCTGGCGGATTTTTCAATCGCGAAAACCCTCATTATGGCGAGTGACGGAGCACCGGGGTCTTTATAGTGGATATGCCTCGCCGACTTGGTGAGCACATAACTTACCCTATTACCGCAGGGTAGCTATGCAATCCAACGCATTTTTCCCCGTAAAAGAAAGGACACATTATGCCACAACGGCAGCGTTCGATGCCACCGCGATGCCGAGACTTGCCACCGTGATGCCTCAGACAAGTCCAAGAGAGACTAGAGCAGCTGCAATGCGACGGTGGCGATACCACTACCGCTGCGGCGTAATCGTACAACCGTACACTGTGTATGGAATTTCCAGAAAATAAATGCTTTTTACCTTTGAATTTTCATCTGGTTTATCGGCAGGAGGCCAAATGTACTCCTTGACGTCTGCCGCAGTCCATTCATTGTTACTGCAACAAAAAAATACTTTTAGATTATACCTACAGACTTTACTGATAAAAGCGCAATTCAGCTTCAGACGGGCTGGGGAGGTCTGAAGTTCACATTCAGTCGCCATTTACGATATCCACGGGAAGAGTAGCGTCCTATTGTACATACTCTGCTAGAACCACATTGGTTCACAAAAATAGAAATAATATTTTACATTTTATCAGACACTTCTGTAGTACCAATCTTTTTTTTTCATATTCATTTATTTATTGCATCACATAATATGTACGCATGTACAATAAGGTCTTATAAAATATGTAAGGTAAACATATGGGCCCTGCAAGGGCATTGCAATTTTACTCGTATTTACAATAGCAATCAAATAAATTATAGATGTCTTTGATAGGAAGTACATAAAGCATTTTGGAATATAATGTCTATTATTGTATAAAAAATATATTTGAAAAATTACGCGTACTGGAATCTGAACCTTAGAAGTGAACAGGAGTCAAGTAGGTCCACTTACCTGTCAAACAGATCTGCGAATTTAGATTTCTTCGTTTTCATGTTGCTCTCATTCGTGGAGCTTTGAACCGAGCTCTGCGAGTCCTCGTCAAGTAAATGTGTGGGCCTGTAGGTAAATAAAATTAAGTATTTACTACAAGTACATAACAGCAATCTTCTCAAAAGTTATGACTCTTTTCATACGGTAAATAGATACGTAATTGGCAACTGAAATTGGAAAGACATTCCAATTTAAGTTGTTCCATTCATGGAATACGTAGAGATTTATTTACAAAAAAAATGACGTCATTCCGTGTCAAAATGCCATCGGCATTTTTACGGTCACTAATCAACATTCAATAAGAAATTCCGTGGAGATTAGTTGAAAGAAAAGCATGTTCGATTTGTTGTAATGGATTTGATTTATTATTAAATGGACTTAGTCGTATAAACAACTCGCTTTGGACCCGATGACGTCTTGAAACTTACTTACAGGAAATACTTGTTTACATGGAATCCATCAAAACAATACAACTAAAACACTTATGTTCTAAATAAAATCGAACTACTTGTTCGACTTTTTTTAAAGAATTTAAGAATGTTCCAAGATAGTCATATAAGTAGCAAGCAAGGATTAACAAGAGACTAACGCCCATATTCACAAACGATGCTTGCTTAAGTGAAGCAGAAAATCGAACGCACAGCGTTGAATAGAGCTCTGTGATTAGTTCGCGTGTCACCCTGTGCGTCCACGCGCACTTTGAGACTTCATAGTAATGTTTGTGAATACGGGCAGAGTAAATACAAATGAGTAGGTCATCTTCATAGAAACGCACCGAGCGCGGTTTGTATGTAGCGCGCCAATACGTATGCGGCGCGCACGCACACATTGACAAAATTTAGCGTTGATTAGCGGGGAGTTGTTGCGCCGAATTTTGTCAGTGTGTGCGTGCGCGGCGCATACGTATTGCCGCGCGCTCACATACAAACCGCGCTCGGTGCGTTTCTATGAAGATGACCTACTCATTTGTATTTACTCTGATACGGGCGAGAGAAAGCAACAGAGAGAGAGAGAGAGAGAGAGAGATAGCCACATGACTCACTTGGCGGGCGTGGCGTTGTCGTCCATCATGCAGGTCTCCTCCTCGAACAGCTGCACCGTGGTCGTGGCCGGCCCGCACACGCGCCCGTAGATGCCCATCGTCTCCTGCGGGGGAATAACAATCATGAGGTATGGTAATAAAGATCATAAGATTTTAAACTTTCGCGTTCCATTTCAACTAAAATAGTAAGACACAGCAGCAGCATCGCAGCCGAAACGTCAAGCCGTGAGTACATAATGTAACTCATTAATAAACGTCGCGTTAAGACCCGTGTCTTACATTTTAATAAAGATCATATTGCTATTTGGCGTGAAGAGGGAGCGTGATTCTTGAATGGCAGTCATGGGCTGGGAGAAGTAGTACCTCTTAGGTGGAGAATAAAAAGAGGCTGACAAAGGCGACCGAGTTTTTCTTACGCCACTTCTCAACACCAGCTTATAATATGTTGTCCCCAAGTGGTAGTAGAGCGAGCTACATTTGGAACATATAAGAGCCCCGGAAAGGGTCTAAGTACTGAATAAAAGCTTTAACTTTGACTCTGGTGAAGGTCGCGGTAAATAACTGGATGCGGGCAGCGCAGGACCGGTTTGTGAAAATCCTAAGGTAGTGCACGTCATTTGGCTAAAACGAACGAATGAATATGTGGGGAGAAACATGTGATCGGCAGCGCATGATGAGGCATAGTCGATGACAACGACGGCACAACACAGATCTTGGCACTTTTTGTAGTAGTAATAAGAGCGATTTCCCGCCGCCGCCGCTGCCGCGGGAGCAAGTCGCTATCTTCTATCTTGATAGGGGCATCCAGCATCATCTTATGTAATAGTTGTGATTGGAGCAATCTTCTTACCTTCAAGTACATAGCGCCGCCCGCGCTTCACCGTCCCAACTATACACTGTAAAATCTTATAGTAGCAATTGGTAAGAGCGATTTTGCAACACCGTACGTACGTACCTTTATGTTATGTACATAGCTCCGCGTCCGCGACCGAACCATCCCATCTAGTCACCATAGCATCTTATGTAGTCGTAATAAGAGTCATTTTCCTACCTTCATGTACATAGCGCCCCTGCCGCCGCCGCGTCCGCGTCCTGTCATCGAGCATCCTATGTAGTAGTAACAAGAGCTACTTTGCAACGCCCTACCTTCATATACATAGCGCTCCTGCCGCCGCCGCGTCCCCGCCCGCGGGCCCCGCGCCCGCCGCCGCTGCCGCGGGAGCGGGACTCGCTGTCTTCTAGCTTGATGGAGGAATCCAACACTACCTTATGTAATAGAGGTGATAAGAGCAATCTTGTTACCTAGTGCCGTCGCCGCATCCGCGCTCCGTCGTGCCAACTAGACACTGTAACATCTTGTACGTAGCGAGTGGCAAGAGCGATTTTGCAAAATTACATACCTTAATGTACATAGCGCCATGTGCGTGCTCATCCGTCCCAACTAGTCACTGTGTAGAAGTAACAAGAGCTATTTTGCAACGCCCTACCTTCATGTACTGAACCCTATTCCTAGCGCCCCGGCCGTCGCAACCGACTATTCACTGTGCCATAATACTTAGTTGTCATAAGAGACATTTTTGTACAGAGCGCCGCCGCCGCACCCGCGCTCCGCCATCCCACCTAATGACTGTAGCATCTTATGTAGTAGAAACAAGAGCTATTTTGCAACGCCCTACCTTCATATACATAGCGACCGCCGCCGCTGCCGCCGCGGGAGCGGGAGTCGCTGATAGTCAAGATAGAGGAATCTTGATGGGGGAATCCCAACTTGTCACTGCAGTATCTTTTTTCTAGCTATTTTACTACACCGTATGTACCTTTACGTACATAACTCCACGCCCGCGAGGCCGCGACCGAACCATCTCACCTAGTCACTATAGCATCTTATGTAGTCGTAATAAGAGTCATTTCCCTACCTTCATATACATAGCGCCCCTGCCGCCGCCGCGCCCGCGGCCGCGCCCCCGGGGCGACTTGCCCGGCGTGCGGCCGCCGCGTCCCCGCCCGCGGGCCCCGCGCCCGCCGCCGCCGCCGCCGCGGGAGCGGGACTCGCTGTCTTCTAGCTTGATGGGGGAATCTAGCACCACCTGAAGCAAGATGATTTTTTGTTGTTTGATCGTCAAGCTTTTACATATTTATTCCATGGAAACGAACAGCACATATGCAACAAATAATAAAACTCATTTGCAAGTAGGCTTTAAAAAGCACTTTTACACGTCCCAGTATTAACCCTACCACTGCTTCAGGACAATAAATGGGGCAGTGCTGAGAAGACCAGCGCAAGAAACTCAGTCACTATTAGTTACTAATAGATCATATACTCAGTTACTAATAGATAGGGCAATTTAGATCAAGTATATTTTGACAGTTTACAGTAGCATTGTGTTACAGATTGGTGAAAGTGATGACATCTATATTCTCTTCTTTGTCTTGATTAACTGGCCTACCTAAGATAGACCCAGTTTTGAAAAGTATTTTAAATAACCAAACAGATTTAATTATTTCCACTTCTCTTCTCCGCTCCACGCCGCCGCCGCCGCTGTCAAATTCTATTCAAAAATTTGACATTGAATTTGAAAAATTTCACATTGGTGGAAACAGGGCCTTAGATAAGTATTATGGTGGCATAAAACAGTGACGCATGTCATCATAGACCTTGTAACACAGTAGCTCCAACGTAACTTTCTATACCGCAAGATGGATGAATGATCGAAATCTTGAGAAAGTTGAAGATTCAACAAACTTAATGAGGGTTTTCGCGAATGAAAAATCCGCCAGATGGCAATACGTAGACGCGAGGTCCAAATGCTGCATGATTGGTTATTTTTGACATGACATTGACAGATATGTCAAAATCCACCAATCATGCAGCAGTCAGACCCCACATCCACGTCCCGACATCTAGCGGATCTTTCATTCGCGAAAACCCTCATTACAAAGACATAAATATCTTACCTTCAACTCAGTCCCATCGAAGTGGTCAGTGCTGTGCCTTGAAGACAGCGGCGTAGCACACGACGCCGGCAGCCTATCTAATGCCTCCGTCATCCGCGGCAGCTTGACGCGCGAGCTAGTAGGGTCTAGCGGTTCCGGCGTGGAGGCGGGTTCCGGCGTGCGCTCCACCGGCGGTTCCGGCGTGTCTTCCGGCGTGGACGCCGGTTCCCGCCGCTCGGACGGCGTGCTGTCGCCCCGCCCGCGGCCCCTGCCTCGCCCGCGACCTCTGCCGCGAGGCTTGGCCAGTATCGTCGGGCGGTCCCTGTAAAATAATGTAATTTTGTATGAGTGCAAGTGTAACAGTTCGTTCGTTCGTTTTAGCCAAATGACGTCCACTGCTGGACAAAGGCCTCCCCCAAGGTTTTCCATAATGAGCAGTCCTGCGCTGCCCGCATGACAAATGCAACAGTAACTGAATCTAATCAGAATATTGTCTTTTAGGAGAAACTCTCACTTTAGAAGAATAGTGTCTTATTATTGGTAGTACCTATGTATACTTTTTATTTTTGTTTACATAAAAATTAATATTCTTCCTGTCAAAAGTAAATTTCACATTGCTGTAACTATTTTAACATCTACCTTGTTGTATTACCTTGTCTCGGTGAATAAAAAATCTTTTAATCTTTAGAACTTAGAAAGTTATTACAAACTATAACATATATATATTTTGAACAAACTGGTTATTTGAGATAAAACAACAAGAAAATAGGAAATAAAGGAATATCTAACCTGGAGAGCCGAAGCGACCGCTGCGGGCGCTCCTCCAGAGCCGGCACGGGCAGCACGACGGGCTTGGGGATGTCTGTCACCACCAGCGGCAGCTTCCGCGGCCGCCCGCGCTTCTTCGGCTGAGGCGTCGACTCCGCCGGCGGAATGCTCAACGTCTCGTTCAAACTCTCGCCGTCCGTCTTAGGCGTCTCAATCTCTAACGGATCCTGCGACACCTCATCCCCACCCATATAATCCCGGAAATCAGAGTTCTCCGCGATCATCATCTCCTCACAATTATCCACCCGCAACAATTCTATCACGTCCGAACTACCCGTAGACGTGTTCGACTCCACTTCAGTTGCTATCACGCCCTTATCCAAACGATTGATATCGTTAAACGGCAACACCTGGATCTGATTCGCCTGCAGGTTCGACAGGATATTGTGCAGCTTCGAATTGCCGTTTTTCGAACAATTCTCGTTATTCACGATAGTGTGGTTGGCCACTTTGCCTGGTTTGATTTCCAATGGTTTCGCCTCCGGCGACTTTTTGATAACGGGGGTGATTGTTAAGGACTTATTTGACAACAGTTGACCCAGTTTAAGTCTCTTACTCTCGAGTACGGTTAATTCAGATTCTTTATTTGGCGTGCTCGCGTCGCTCGTCGGCGGCCTCTTGCCCATAATTCGTTTTATTATTGGGGACTTCTCGGCGTTCTCCACGATCCTAGAGCTTCTCAATCGCTTACCCAACGCCATAGTGGGACTGTTGTCCACCGCCTGCTTTCGCCTGTTCACGACATTCTTCCTCGGACTTGGCTTGTCGTTGACCTCTACTGCATTTTCAGATTTGTAGCTCTGCTGCAGGGTGTCACCTTTGTTCACCTCCTCAGTTATTATTTTAGCTGAGGCTCCGTGATCAGTCTTATTTATCTTCAGTATTATTCTAGGAGAATCTTGACCTGAACTTTGATTAGACAGCTTTTCAGATACATTGATTTCTAATGGTTTTGTTACATTTTCATTGGCTTCTTTACAAAGCTCTTGGATTGGACGAATTTTTAAACTAATTTGTGGAGTATTTACATCATTTACTTTATCTGGACTGGGGCTTCGGGTCTTTGGGCTATCATTTGCAATGTCATTTACTTTTTCCATGCTACTGTGCCCAGAATCAAACTGTTCATAATTCAAAGTTTCTTTGCAAATTGGAGAATTATGACTGATGATTGTATGAGAATCATTTGATTTTTCACTTATACATTCAGTACTCTCCAAAAGCTTCTTGAGCAATGTGCAGTTTCTCACAGAGCTTACTTGTCTGTTTGTTGCCCTGACAGCATTTACTTCTGTGTTCAACCCTGCATTAGTGGTGACATGATCTGAACTTAAACTTATCTCAGTACCTTGAACCAGGCTAGGAGATACTCTTGAATCATCATGTTTGGATGTTGCAGTCTCTGAAGTTGAACTTCCTGTTTTGACTGTCTTATTATCTGAATTTGAATGTACCAACTCTTTTAACAAACAGTGACCACTTTCAGTGCTACTCTTTTCCAATTCTTGTACACAATTTTGCCTTATTTCATTATGATGTAAATGGCTCTCGTTTTCTTGTTTAGATGAACCAGAACTAACGGCATTTCTCTCGCCATCAATATTCTCAGCCCTTTGTTTAGGGCTGTCAGGTTTCATTACAGGTTTAATGTTTAGTTTCATTACAGGCATGTCCTCACCTATGTTATTGTGAACATGGTCACCATCATCAACATTATTTATGTTCCTATCAGTGTTACAACTTTCATTCAAAGAAGAATCAGTAACAGCTTTCATATTTATTTTCATAACTAAGGGTGGATTTTTTACAATTTTATCTTCATTTTCTTCTCTACTTTTATGTACATCTATATCTTCAGGCTTAACAACAGGTTTAATATTCAATTTTGTAACAACAGGTATGTTAGAATTTTTTGTATCTACATTTTTCAAATTTTCTTTCTTAGGAGATGAAGGGGAAATACTTTCTTCTGGCTTAATTAATGGCTTGATATTGAGTTTAGTTACAATAGGTGTAGAGTCTTCATTTGATGTTTTATGTTTAGGCGACCCCACTGATGATTCATTTGGTTTAAGAATTGGTTTAATATTTATTTTAGTAACAACAGGTATGTGATCATTGTTCTCATCACTGGAATTCCCGGTTTCTGAAGATTGATTCTCCGAATCCTTCGAAGTATCTTCCTCAGCTGGCTTAACAATAGGCTTAATATTAAGTTTAGATACAACAGGTATACTATTTTCCTCTCTGTCCGCATTCAATTCATCACAGTCTTTTTCTTGTAAAGAGTCTTCTTCAGGATTCTTTAAAGGTTTAATATTCAATTTCGTTATTTTAGGTACATCATACATGCTAGAATCTACATCATTATCTTTAGGCTTTACTATAGGTTTAATATTCAATTTTGAAACTACAGGAACTTTATCTTCCAGCCCTTCTGAGGGTTCACCAATATCTGTAGGTTTCAAAATAGGTTTTATATTTAATTTTGTAACTTGGGGGATATGTTCTTCATTGTCACAAACATTTGACTTTCTGTTAGTTTTGGGTTCAGTATCTGGTTTCTGGACAGGTTTTATTGTGATTTTAGGAACATGTACATTGTCTTTGACTTCTGTGCATGTTGCTGTAAAACACTCAGTGGAAATCTTAAGTTTGGGAATCTGTGGAGGGTCAAGTTCAGCATTACATGTAAGTTCTTTGCTAATATTGTCTGGTGGTTTCAAGGGCTTAATTGTAAGCTTTGGGCTGAGAGGTTGACCCTCAGATTTAGTCACAGTTTTAATAGTCAATTTGGGAACTTTTTCAAAATTTTTGTCCTCAGGTTGACTTATCACCAAAGTTAACTTTGATGGTGATTCAGGGTCATCTTTTTCATTTTGTTGTATTCCTTTTATTGTTAATTTTGGAAGATTTTTCTCTGCATAGAATTTTCCTTCAGATTCTGTGCCAGGTTTTCCTAGCTTAATGGTAACTTTGGGGACTACATCAGGTGGTCCCTGATCTGATGCAGATGCTTGGTCAGACGTACTTGCACTGTCATCATTTTCTGAGTATTCTGATTCTGATATTTCACTACTGCTGGACTTGCGATGTATATCATTTATCTTTTCAGGGGGTCTAGGGATGGGTTTGATGTTCAGTTTCGTTATGTTTGGTATTTGTTCACTACTGTCAGCCTTGGTTTCACTGATTTGGGAGTTATCACTCAACTTTTCCGTGGGCTTCAAAATGGGCTTGATATTCAGCTTTGTCACATTTGGAATCTGCATCCCACTTTCAATATTATCTGGAGGGGGTTTAATAGGCTTAATTGTAAGTTTGGGAACAGGAGACTTTCTTTCCTCTGTTTGTTTATTTCCTAATTTAATAGTCAGTTTAGGGACCTGTCTTGGAGATATGGGCTCATCATGAGCATGTTCATTAGTGCTAGAACTGCCTTGACCATCAACTTTGTTCTCCGTCTCAGCATCACAAAATGTTTTACAGGTACTCAAATCTATTTTTAGAGGTGACACTTTCCTTTCATCCTCAACTCTTGCCATCTCCCCTGAAAATTCTTCCTTTGGGTTTTCATTACTACTATCTTCACTCTTTTGTACAGGGGTATCATCATTAGATTTCGTGGGTATCTGGTCATCAACTTCTTGAACAAGTGAGCTATTTGGTTCAATTTTTTGTTCAATTAATGCTCTCAAAGCACTATTTGAATTCAAATTAGGACATGGTTGGACAGGGTAAGATGAAGGGGTGTCACTGGATGTTGACTGACACTGCTCCGGCTCCACCTGAACATTCTGATTCTCTCGAGATGTTTCTCTGCTTACTGTAGGGGCATTGACCTTTTGTCTAACAAGTTTAATTTTTTTAGTAGGACTTACAGAAGTTTCTGCTTTGCAGACACTTATTTCACTTACATTTCTAATCTCTTCAAGCTTAACATTACCATGTACAGAGGGCACCGCATCAGAAGAGCTGGAGACATCCTTAGCGAGGCTCTCACAGCTCGACTGCTGAGTAGTGTGAATATCTACGGTAGAGGACACCGTTGAGTCTGGCCGGCGGTCCACAGGGGCAGGGCGCACGAGGCGCCTCCGCAGCGGGGATCGCGTGGATTGTTCTGCACCACTAACTTTCTCTTCACTTAAACTAATGTCACTTGACGTTGATTCTGCACTTTCTATAGTTACATCATTCCGAGAGTCACTTGATGTCACACATTTCACTGTCCGTTCTCGTATCTCGCACTCACTCGGTTCAGAAACATTCTGCACAGTCTCTGATAAACTGCTGGAAGGAATATTTTGGGGTGGACACTCACTGGGTGCATTAGATCTCTCACAAGGTTCTAATGATGCTTCTGGCTCCACACATGCTTTCAAGGGCGCTTCGGGCTCTACACTAGGCTCCTGCGGCACTTCAGAGTCACCACAAGGTTCTAGTCGGTTCTCTACTGATGAAGAATTATCATTTGTATCACAAACAGACTTGGAACATTCTTGTTGTGGCTCCACAGAATCAGTGTTTACAACATCCAATGAAACATTACTAGGAGCAGTACACTCGGGTTGCACGACTGGTTCACTCGCGTCGCGGTCGGGGTCACTTTTGGCACTTGTGGCGTCGGACGCGGTCGGGGGAGGCGGGGGCTCCTCTTCGGGAGCACTCGCGGGCGCTTCCTGTGTGATGGTTTCGTCGTCAGTCTTGACGCATTCACTCTCCGAAGTGTCTTCGGCGGACGACAGAGGAAGTCGTTTCGGTGCACTCGGGCCGTCGACGAACTCGTCGATCATGTCCAGAATCGCTTCCGTGCTAGTGTTGACGTCCTGACCCGACGGCGATGGTACGCTGTCGCCGTCAAAGTTGTCCTCGGACATCGCGGGCGTCCTGCACGAGGCCCGCGCATCGGTCGGTTCCTGCAGCGTACTACCAGTTGCGTTGTAGTCCTCCGCCTGTCCGATATCCCTTTCCCGCGCCGATGCACGGCGGGAAGCGCCAGTCGCGGTGCCCGCATCATCTTCTGAGCTCTCCATTATCTACTATTTTGCGACGCTGTCATATCTGAAATACAAAACGCTTACTGGGTGTATTTACGTTACGAAAGGGTAACCTGACGACGTGCGAGATTGACAAGCCACAGGCACCATTCTAATTCACCATAACGCTACGAAAATTCGTTCACGGGGTCCACAGTGTTGATTATATACCTACACATGTAGTTAAATTTCATATTCACGACGTTTACGACTCGATTGAGTACACGCGAGGTCTTGGAAAGTATTCAACAGCGTAAACCGGCAAACAAAAAGCTTGTATACGCCATTTTTAAAACCAAAGACATGGCAGGTTGGGATGTATGGGCCAATAAAAAATATCCTATACGGACAATTCGGCCATTGTCGTGTTGGTAAACTGCAAGAAGCCCATAGATCGCTCCACTTGAGCTTTTAGCTTGTAAAAAGAGTAATAAATATACTTTTCGACATGTGTTAAAACGAGTAAGAGAATATTTCTCGCTTAGAGTGTTATTTCATATGGCAATAATTTCAAATGGTAATGTAATGTTACCAATTACCAATCAAATCTTTATAAATTATTTAAAATTTTGTATTATTTTCGCATTGAATGTTAATTTTCAAGCAAACAATTAAAATAAAAGCAACAGATTTTAACTTCTAATACATCGATGTATGTTTTTTTGAGCGTTTCTTGTAATTCTTGTAAACCTAAGAATACACAGTAGGTAACAGATGCGACAGTTCTGTGAGCTCATGGGTTAATGTATTTTTCTTTCCCTCTCTTTTATAGGCACGCAGTTTAGAATTAATTTACTTTATCGAATCAGTTTATTACTGTTTATTCGTTAAATTATTTAGTATCATTCCGAAGCAGGTATTTCAGCTGCAGTCTATTTAGTATCCGTGTGCAGTTTTGGGTCTGCCATGACCATCGAACGCGTGGCCCTGGGTTGCGGATAGGGGAATGCCCCCCATTCGTGTGGGGTACCCTGTACCCGGTCTACTGGCGCGCCGCGGACAAAAATCCCCACAGAAGGGGTGTTTGCCCGCTGCTGGAGGGCTGCTCTCCGTACTTCTCCCTCTGATTAGCAAAGCTGACTGAGCAGCAGCTTACCGTAACCAAGGCCGCGGGGGTCCTTTTACACCAGTGCCCCGATTACGCTAATTTTTAACGTCTCCAATACAGACGCGCTTCTTCGATTCTGCTCATTCTACTTAATTAGTTCCAAAATATAGTTCCAAAATACTGGACTGTCCTGTCGATGACATTGACAGTGGGGCGCCACCGTCAATGCCGGATCGCTGGTTCAGATTTTTGCCATGTTGGAAACCATATAGTTGAACGATGGTGGCGCCCCCCTGTCATTGAGATTGGTGGGACAGTTCAGCGTGGGTCATCTATACTGGACTGTCCTGTCGATGACATTGACAGTGGGGCGCCACCGTCAATACCGGATCGCTGGTTCAGATTTTTGCCATGTTGGAAACCATATAGTTGAATGATGGTAGCGCCCCCCTGTCATTGAGTTTGGTGGGACAGTTCAGCGTATACGGGTTATATACGGATTTGTCCAAACAGCTGACGTCCGGGCACGTTAAAGATGTCATTTTTTAGCGTAATCGGGGCCCAGGCAAAATAAAATAAACTATAGCCTGACCAGGAACATAAAAACCCTGGCACAGAGGCGCTTCAATTGCATTTGATAGTGCAACACTGAGTACAGTCGTACCTGTGTTAAATTAATAGCCTAACTTTATGTATCAGGATTCAGGATTACGGGCTAATTTGATATTTTCATAAATTAACGAAAAATATTATTAAAGATAACCTGGTTTAAATAAATTAAATGAAACCATCAATCGAGCTAGTAGGATTTATTTTATTATTCATCAATAATCAAATTCAGAACATGAATATTCAACTGCAATGTCTGCTCATGAACGCTTCAAACTCGGTACTTCTTTCCCAATTCCATAAAATTCAAAACTTAGAAAGTTACAAAAAACTTTAAAATAGGTAGTTGAAACAGACTACAGCTAATTTTCATAGTGGACTGTACCATACGATAAACATGTCAGTCAATTTGACAACCTTTGTCGGAAACATTATTCAATGAAAATATTGTCCGAACCCTTAGTATTTCTCTTCGACAAATACATTAACACATCGTGAACCACTTTTCTTTCACGACTATAAAAATATTTTAGCAATTTAATTCACGAAATCAATTGCACACATTTAAAATAAAGTTTGTTTACACTTTGACATGCATGGTGACATGTCAATGAAGTTTTCAGTTACTGTTGCCATTAAAAGAAATTAGTACCATTAGTTTTCCGCAACATGGCGAGGGTTTTTATGTTCCTGGCATAAAGTTAATATTCCTATTAACTTTATGGTTCCTGGTCAGGCTATAACTCCAGAAAAACTTTTCACATCTTTGACTGGCAAAAAAACAATTCGACATCCCGTTAAATTTCGTTAGTAAAAAAAAAAAAAAATGTCAACAACAAAAAAACTCAAACTGTCAACTTCCTGAAAAAAATCGGAAAACTTTAATTTTGTAATAAAAAGGATATTAAGCTTTAGAATTGTTCAATATGACGACTATAAGACCATTCACTTGTGAAGATATGTTAAAATTTAACAACGTGTAAGTCAATATCCGAAAAATAATACTAAAATTTTAGGTTATACAAGTTTATTTTTATATTCATCTTTTTAGGAATTTGGACCCTTTAACAGAAACCTATGGCTTGTCGTTCTACACACAATATCTGGCGCATTGGCCGGAGTATTTCCAAGTGGCTGAATCTCCTAGTGGAGAGATTATGGGATACAGTAAGTATAACTATCCATCCACATTAGTAGTGTTTATGTTTTCTACCATATGGCTAATATAACTTTGGATGTAACTTTTAGTAATGGGGAAAGCAGAAGGTCACGGGGAGAACTGGCATGGACACGTTACAGCGCTTACTGTAAGTCCCGACTACAGGCGACTAGGACTTGCGGCCACTTTGATGAACATTCTTGAAGATGTCTCTGAAAAGTTAGTAGTTTCATAATTTATTAACATGTATTATTTTACATACAAATATTTGTTTCTTCAAATAACATATACATTTTATTTTCAGAAAAAATGCCTACTTTGTAGACTTATTTGTGAGAGTGAGCAATAAAGTGGCCATCAATATGTACAAAAATCTTGGTTACATAGTGTACCGGACTGTGTTAGAATATTATTCAGGGGATCCAGATGAAGATGCTTATGGTAAATATAATTTTCATGACATTACCTTAAATAAAATTGAACTTTCATAGTATAATGTTTAGTGTGCACTGATTACTTAATAATTAGTGTGATTTGTATTTATTATTATGTCCACAGATATGAGGAAGGCTTGCTCAAGAGACATCAGTAAGAAGTCTGTGGTACCTTTAGCTCATCCAGTGAGACCAGAAGATGTGGACTAGAACCTATAATAAGTTTTAATAAAATGACAAAGTAAATCAATCATACATTGTTTTATTGAAGATACAATTTAGTTGTAAAAATGGTCAGTCTGGAATACAGCACAAAACACAAATGCAGAATTATTATTTTATTCTTACACATTGTAAAAAGATCAGTTCATGATGTTTCAACTATCATTATCATTTTCTTCATTATCATTTGAAACAGGTGTGTGTCCTTGTTCATCTGAGGCTGAGGGACTTTTACTCGAATCTGTGTCTGTAGAGGGCTGAGCCTCTTTCTCCTTCCGCCATTGCTTAGCCATGGCAAGCAGTTTAAGATTGGGTTTAACCATTTCATCCTCAGGAAATATGTAGTCAAACACTTCTTCCCAACCTTCTTCAATGCCCTCCTCACTGACAATCTTTTGTCTCTTTTTAACTCTTCTTGGCATCTTTTCTAAGACCTTTTCTAGTTTGACTTCATCACCAATTTCTGTTTCAAAGTCTTTCCAAGCTTCAAGCAAAAGAACCCTTGCTTCTTTCTCTCCAGCACTTCTCAAACTGGTATTGGCACGCTCATATACACGCCTTGCAAGTTCTACATGGATGTTATCAGGGTTTTCAGCATTTAATTCAAACTTAGCATAAGAAAGCCACACTTTTACATGCACTGTTCTCTCCAAAAGTCGCTCATACAACTGCCTCGCCTTTTCTGTTTCCCCTTGAGTTACTTCGAAGTCAATATAGCTCTTCCAAAGAAGTTCAGGCATGTCCAATCTTGGCTGGTTTACAGCAATTTCATAAATCGCCCTTGCTCTATCTATGTCACCTAGAAGTGTCTCTAATTCTGCAAATTTGATCCATGTGATGCAGTTCTCTGGGCCATATTCCAAGAATTTTTGATACAAAATTCTGCATCTATCAAATTCTCTGAGCTGAATCTCCAGATCAATGTATCCTCTGTATAGTTTGTCCCTAGGACATATTCCTAGAGCCATTCCCAATGTCTTTCTGGCTTGTTTCAAATCTTTACATCTAACTTCAAACTGTGCATACATAAGCCAGATTTTTGAAAATGTAAAAATCTTATGTGGAATCAACTCTAAACATGTCCTGTAGATTTGTCTAGTCCGTTCAATATCTTCAGCTTCTAATTCTTCATACAATGCATAGTTAATCCATAGGTAGATGTATCTTCTCCAAAATTGTTTATCTTTTGATGGGGGTACATTTGCAATGGCTCTTTCATAAGTGTCTCTTACATTATCTACATTACCCTCATTTTCCACAAGCCTTATGTAGTCAAACCATGCATCATAATTTGTAGGATTTTCTATAACTTCTTGTTCATACATGTATTTCCTCTTATTCACTATAACATCTTCAATCCCTGATCTATCACCATACTTTTTCTCATGGATTGTGTAAGCTTTATACAGTTCCTTGTTCCTGTCTTTAGGGATGTGGTCCAGTGCATATTTGTAGATGACTCTGGCTCTATCATGTTCCTTTTGGTTCTCTTCAAATTTAGCAAAAGCTATGAATAGTCTTTCATCAAGTTCTTCATCACCAAAGAACTCAACAGCTCTTTCATATACCTTTCTGGAGCCATTGATGAAGCCGTGGTTTTCTTCAAACTTGGCATACTTTATCCAATGTTTTACATCAGGGTGAACCATTACAAACCTTTCATAGATTTGCCTGGCCCTTTCCAATTCCTTGTATCTTAATTCAAAGTTGATGTATGTCTGCCATGCCTGCTCATCTGGTTGCCATTCCATCCAACGTTCAAATACCTAAAAAATTACAAAAAAGTATATTACAATAAAATACTGCTCCCTTTTTGCAAATAAATCATTATAGTTTTCTCAGTATTATTTGATTTACCTGTCTAGCCCCAGCAACATTCTCAAGCATCTCTTCCATGTAAGTGTACTTGTACCAGAACTGTGACACACGTGGGAGAATGGTCACAGCTCGATCCCATAGGTTGCGGGCATGGTTCACTTGCCTGTTTCTCATCTCCATTTCGGTGTATTTCAGCCTGTAATTATCAATGGGAAATGTTGTTAATTTTCTCATAAAAATATAGGAAAAGGTAACTTTTGAATAGTTCAAAATAAGTAAGACAATACCATAAGGTAACATTTCTGTGATCAACGTCCAAGGCGCGTTCATAAATGGACCGGGCTCTTTGGACTTGTTTCTGCGACTCTTCCCATTGAGCATACTTCAGCCAGTTTCCAATCACCTGAAAAACAAAGTCATCATCATTTTCACACGCTTTTGATGGATGAATAATTTGTGTCAAAGCTATGTTGAGAGTTGTGGAATAAATTATAGAGAATTAACTATTATTATCGTTATAAATTATAAATTTAAGGTTTTAAATACAGACCATTCTATTTTTACGAATATTGTCTTCGAAAGCTTTCCTCTTCCGGTGCTGGTAGTCCCTAAGCTCCTCTGGATCAGAGATTTTCTGTTTAGGTGGAGGTGGTAGTATCTCTAAATCTCTTTCTTTTGCTTCTCTAAGCAACTGTTCGGCTGTGATTTGGATTTCTGCTGGAGCTTTGTTCTTCACCTATGAGAAATAAGTCATTTGTATTAAGAATTCAGTGTAGAATTCACAAAAACGTTAGCCAAAAATTGTTTGGTTACTTACCTTTGCCACTTTGGGCATTTTCGTTGTTTTGCCTTCCATTATTGTAGGTTTTGGTAGGACTCCTGTTTAGTTACAAAATGCGGGATACTTTTGTTTATATTTGGGTTAGTAAATCAATAGAAATAAATGTTCATGTGATTAAAATCATCACATCAAGCACGAAACCACACGAAACCAAACACGAAATTGAAAAGTTTGACAGCGTCTTGATCACCATAGAGAAAAGTAATAGTTGATCACAGTCTTGATGACAGTCGCTCTCCGCTCTGTGGACGTGTCATTGAGTTTATAAAAGAGTGAACCTGGGACCTTAGTGATATGAACCTCCTCTGTTGCAAATTGTCTATGGTACTTTAAGAATGATATAAGTCANTAGTTGGAACCTATGCTTATCTCGATGATGTGACCATCTGTGGCGTGACTAAGGCCGAACACGATAAAAACCTTAATGCCTTTCTACAGGCGGCTGAAAAATATAGACTTACATTGAATAAAGAAAAGTGCACCTTTTGTTCGGAAACCATTAATCTTTTGGGTCACACCATCACCAATCAGACAATCAAACCTGACAAATCAAGAATACAACCTTTACTCGATCTTCCTGAGCCTAAAGATTCAATGTCACTCAAAAGGGTTTTAGGATTATTTGCACATTATAGCCCATGGGTAAGAAACTTTTCTCATAAATTGAGGCCATTGATAGATAGTACCGAATTTCCTCTTTCTAACGAAGCATTATCAAGCTTTAACAATTTAAAGACTGAGCTCGCTAACGCTAGTTTACATGCAATTGATCTTAAAGCTACTTTCACTGTCGAAACGGATGCATCAGAATATGCGATTGGAGCCATTTTATCACAGGACGAACGACCTGTAGCTTACTTTTCTCGTTCATTATCTCCACCTGAGAGACGCCACTCTTCAATAGAAAAGGAGGCGTGTGCCATCGTTGAAGCACTTCGCAAGTGGCGCCATTTCCTTTTAGGAAGACATTTTATTTTAATCACTGACCAGCAGTCAGTAGCATTTATGTTGCAAGCTCACCATTCAAGCAAAATTAAGAATGAAAAGGTAGAGCGTTGGAGACTCGAGCTATCAGCATACAAATATGATGTTATATATAGACCGGGGAAGGAGAATTTGGCCGCTGATGCACTGTCTCGCGTTTGTGCTCAGATACACACCAACGTCACAAATAAACTAATTGAGTTGCACAACGCTCTTGGACACCCTGGTATTACTCGTATGACACATTGGATCAGAACTAAAAATTTGCCATACTCTGTCACTGATATAAAAGCGATTACTTCTGCTTGCAGAATTTGTGCTGAAATCAAACCACAATTTCACAAAACTCAAGGAAAGCTTATTAAGGCGATAGTTCCTTTTGAACGACTAAGCATTGATTTCAAAGGCCCATTACCTTCAAAGAGCAAGAATAAATACATCCTCACTATTATCGATGAATTCTCTAGATGCCTTAGCGTATGGCACTTTTTGATCGCTCGGAAAATGAAATCCTTTTACGGAGTGTAGCAATTCCATACCATTTGTTTACGGAAGCTCGAATACATGAATAAAGTATAACATAGTACGAAACATGGGGTGAATATGGGCGAATGGGAATCCTCTAGTTATTAAGTTTTGTATGAAATTATGTCATATAGATGACCCACGCTGAACTGTCCCGCCAAACTCAATGACAGGGGGGCGCTACCATCGTTCAACTATATGGTTTCCAACATGGCAAAAATCTGAACCAGCGATCCGGTATTGACGGTGGCGCCCCACTGTCACTGTCATCGACAGGACAGTCCAGTATTTTGGAACTATATATAGCCTGACCAGGAACATAAAAACCCTCGCCATGTTGCGGAAAACTAATGGTACTAATTTCTTTTAATGGCAACAGTATAACTGAAAACTTCATTGACATGTCACCTTGCATGTCAGTCTATTGCTGTCAAAGTGTAAACAAACTTAATTTTAAATGTACGCAACTGATTTTGTGAATTAAATTGCTAAAATCTTTTCATACTCGTGAAAGAAAAGTGGTTCACAATGTGTTAAAGTATTTGACGAAGAGAAATACTAAGGGTTCGGACAATATTTTCATTGAATAATGTTTCCGACAAAGGTTGTCAAATTGACTGACTTGTGTATCGTATAGTACAGTCCACTATGAAAATTAGCTGTGGTTTGTTTCAACTACTTATTTTAAAAAATTTTGTCACTTTCTAAGTGTTGAATTTTATGGAATTGGGAAAGAAGTACCGAGTTTGAAGCGTTCATGAGCAGACATTGCAGTTGAATATTCAAGTTCTGAATTTGATTATTGATGAATAATAAAATAAATCCTACTAGCTCGATTGATGGTTTCATTTAATTTATTTAAACCAGGTTACCTATAATAATATGTTTTCGTTAATTCATGAAAATATTAAATTAACCCGTAATTCTGAATCCTGATACATAAAGTTAGCCTATTAATTTAACACAGGTACGACTGTACTCAGTGTTGCACTATCAAATGCAATTGACGCGCCACTATGCCAGGGTTTTTATGTTCCTGTGGGTCTAGACAAAGTGCCATTATAATCGCAAACCAGTCGAAAAGTGGTCGAAAAGCCCCTTTTTTGTATGGAATTTGACGGATTCGATTTTCGATTCGATCAAAAAGTGCGTTTTGTCTAGGGGGGCTGGTCAGGCTATAGTTCCAAAATACTGGACTGTCCTGTCGATGACATTGACAGTGGGGCGCCACCGTCAATACCGGATCGCTGGTTCAGATTTTTGCCATGTTGGAAACCATATAGTTGAACGATGGTAGCGCCCCCCTGTCATTGAGTTTGGCGGGACAGTTCAGCGTGGGTCATCTATAGTGATCAAAATAATCAAATGGTAAATATAAAATATGTCGTTCCGGATCCGTTTACTTGAGAATTTTTTTAAAGAAAAATGGAAATGAAGTTGATATTTATGAAATGGTATGCTCGTGAATTGCATAGCTCGCCATGGCCCGTGCCATTGCCATGGCCATAGGATTGGATTGGATTAAAAAATTCTAATGTCAAATTTGACGACCTATGTTTTGTTGAAAACATTGACGATTTTTAATAATACGGCTCTTTTTTGGAATACGTGAACATGTTTCATTCACTATCTCGTTTATTATTATCATCACAGAATACAGGTGCAAACAAATTATAACTCTTATCAGTTTTAATTATTACCATAAATTTGAGGTTATGTTATGTTCTACTGTTTTCAGGTTATCGCTTATCTTTAAGACTTTTGAATACTTCTACGCCTATAACACGGGGCCGGTACGCAACTGACCAGATAAAATATGTGAAATCAGTTATATCAAGTTCCAAGAATCTGGAATGGTCTACATTAAAAAAAGATACTTTAGAAATAAAGGGCTCGATCAACAGCCAAAACATAGATGCTGTGTTCTTGAAGGTGATGGTAAACGGCAGAAACTTTGAAGCGGCACTGTCTTTTGCTGAATATTTAAAGTCTAGCAATGCAGAACTGAATCTTGGTTCAATAAACGGTCTCTTGGTTTTGTTTTATGAAATGGGCAAGGAGAATGAATTATCAGAGGAGCAAAAAGCATTTATTTTAGAATCTTATAAAGATCTGTACAATAAGTATAAAGTGTTAGATTCTACGACCTGTGAGAAACTGATACATGCTCTGTGTGTGATAAATGAATGGAAAAAGGCTTTGAAAGTATTAGAGGACATCAAGCTCACTAGCAAGCCGTCTCATTCGGCTTATAGTTTGATAATTGCTAGTCTTTTCAATGTGAATAAGAAAAGTGATGCATTAAAGATCATAGCAAGAAGTGTAGCTGACGATCGGCCTATACAACACACTGCATATGTTGCGTGGGTAAACTATATCATAAGGAAATACAAAGACAAGAAAACTATAACTAAGTATTTGGAGGAAATCAATATGCACATTTTCAATAACTCTGTGAGCATCTCTGAGCAGACAGCTCAGTTATTACAGGAAACTTATAGTAATTTACATTGGAATGCACAATTTACTAGAATAAGAAAAATAGAGTAAGTCTTCATATTTTTTTTTGTGTAAATATTTTCTATTTCCAATGTTATTTCTTTTACCATACTTTTTTCTATTTTCAGTGGTAAATGTATGTGCTGTAACCAACAGCTGGACTGTTTAAAACTCTCAGAAGAAGAATTTCAGATGTTGCAAGAGAATATAAAACAAAAACTGATAGTAGGATCTGATTTATTTTTAAAAACGTCACCAGATGAGCTGGATAGGTTCCTGAGATTCGTTAACAATACTGCACCTTACGATGTGGTGTTGGACGCTTTGAATATAGCGTATATTGCCAGGAACGGTAATTTAGACAGAGTTAGCGTGTTGAGCATGGTGGTGAACTATTTTGAAAGTCAGAACAAGAGGATGTTGTTACTGGGAAGAAAACACATGCTGGGCTGGCCAAGGAAACAGATGCAACAGATTATGGGTAAAACTTGCAGTTTCTTCACTGACGACTTGTAAGTTAGGTTCTGTTAAAAAAAAATAACAAACCAATTGTTAATTATTTATTATTATTTCGTTTTTAATCCAATATACATATTGTTGGCTATAGCAATAGTCTACTTTATTTTGGAGTCACTGTAATGTTGCACTATAACAACTGTAGTGCACTTGTTTAAATTCAATATGTTGGTTGACCATAATAATATTATCTCATTCCAACTTTGTTTGGTACATTTACTCTGCTATGCTGGCCATACTTTTCTTTCCATGTTTGCCACACTTGCAATCCTTGCAAGTAGGAATAAGGAAAAAAATATATGCATGATCAGTGGCGGCGTAAGGCGTAGGCGACGTGGGCCACCGCCTACGGCCTCGCGGAACAAGGGGCCTCGCGCATCAAAAATTTTGCTCACATGTCAAATTCAACTTTTAAATACTACTAGCTGACCCGGCGAACTTTGTTCCGCCTTAATGGCAATAAATAAGCAGACTTTTTTTAATTTCGAACGGGATAAAAAGTATCCTATGTCCTTCTCCTGGCTCTAAACTACCTCCCTGACAATTTTCAGCTAAATCGGTTCAGCCGTTCTTGAGTTATAAGTGGTGAAACTAACACGACCTTCTTTTATACATATACAGGGTGTTAGGTAAATGGGTATATGAGCCGACACTAGCCCATGTTAACATGGCCATATAAATGGTATGGTGAAGTCAGAAATTTGATATCATCATTTTAATTTATTAAATTTTCATACAAAATACATTTTATAAATTCCGATTTGTATAAAAATTAAAATAACTAAAATTATGATATCAATTTTCTGACTTCACCATACCATTTATATGCATATGTTAACATGGGCTAGTGTCGGCTCATATACCCATTTACCTAACACCCTGTATATAGATTAAATATAAATTATTGATAGCTAAACAATATAGTTAATTTTTTTTTCTCCAAACAAATTCAGTCATAATCAGACACAAAATTAAGCAACAACACGGTTTTAAGTGACAAACATTATTCTTTGGCGCAAAATTCCTTTAAAAATAATCACTGAATCAAGAAGTCAGAAACTGTCAATGAATAGACCATTGACCCGTTTTTTTTTATTATTTCATAAAATCCGTCTTCAGGTCGCCACAGAACAAGGCCTCGCGAAATCTGTCTTGCCCACATCAAATTTAGGTCTTGCCCCGCCACTGTGCATGATCCATTTATAAACATTCCATTAACTCTTTCAGATCTCAAGATGACCCATACTTCATAACAGCAGCAATCCTCAGTGGTTCCCACACAGACATTGTGTCCAAGGACTTGCTCCGTGGCCACCAGTTCTTGTTGAAGGATGAGCAGCTCAGGCTTGTCTTCCGAAGGTGGCAGTGGCAGCACCAGTGCATGGTGTTCTTGAATAAGAGGCGGAAACTTATTGTGCAGGTATGTAGCTATTCTTAATACTGATTACTCCACCTTCTTTTGGGTGAAAAGTGTTTGAATTTATTTCCTGATGATTTCCAGAATAATAAAAAAATGACCTTAGATTGTTATACTTGCTACTTGCATGCTACTTGGTTTGAGACTAGATAAAGCCTGGTCCGTGAGCACGTAGAATTTTGTCCAATAACCCCAAGCTACCCATCCTTATCGCTCGCGTGTAATTATATTGCTGCATTGGACAAAATTCTACGTGCTCACGGACCAGGCTTTAGTACTAGACAACAGATATAATTCTTTCAGTCACAGGACAGTGACTGCTGAACATAGGTATAAGGCTAATGTTCAAACAAATACTTAAATTGTGTTTTAATGTACAAAAACACACTGAGCACACATTTCTAGACCAGTAAAATAGTTTTGTGCGGGAATCGAACCTACGACCTTTTCCGACTCAAACCTTTCCAGTGTTTTCAGGCAGCTGTATATGGCTTGGACTTGGTGTACCTTATTGGAAGAAACTTACTCATATTTCTTTGTCCTCAGCCACCTCTTAAGTTCACTCCCTGTGCCCAGAAGAAGAACGGCGCTTGGCATTTAGTCTACGAGAAGCCCCACGAGACTGACTCCTTCGGGCCGCAGATCAATGACGGAACGCCCGACCTAACTACCTGGCTCTGTCTACGGCCCCCGAATGCTTCGGTCAATAAATGATGTACTTTTTGTGATTGTGTATTATTTTCTATTTATTTTGCCCTTGAGAGATGAGTATGAACATCATGCAACAAGAAATTCCATCCAACCTCATTATCTTCATCATAGTGGTCGACTGAAGGAGACTGGGTAGATTCCTTGGGACCTTTCTTCATGAGGGTTCAATTTTCGTCAGGTTGATTCTGCAAGACGAACTTTTGTAATCATAGAATAATGCAAAGGGTGGGTTAAATCATAGAACAGGCCAAAAAGTATGTAAGAAGTTTCGCTTTATTAGGAAAAAAATAGGAAAAATATGTCACACTGACGAACAGTGTCATGTCATTCGCAACCATCACGAATGAAAAAATATCCAACTTTTGGCTGAACGCGTGAAATTTCAAGTGTATCTTACAAAGATGCCGCCCAAAGGGAAGAATCTGGAGCAGACCCCATCCAAAATGGGTAAAGGGTCCAAGGCCGACCTGGCTTCGCAGTCCGAGCAGAATGTGAAGATCATAAAGAATGTCAATTCAGGTAAAAAGTCACCAGTTATCCACTTTGTGCCTGAACCATGATTCTTGAAAGTACTTAGTCGACCAAGAAATAGTACCTATGTCCATAGGAAATGTGCGTTAAGAATGGTTACTTCCTTCCTACCCTCTGACCCTTAGGCCTATATTTCACCGGGACACTATGGCGGCGCAACCAGTCGCCGGCTACCAACAAAATGTAAGTATACAGCTCTATAGAGAGTTACTCACCTGGTGTCCGTTTGGTTGCGCAAAGCTGTATACATTTTGTTGGTAGCGGCGACTGCTTGCGCCGCCATGGTGTCCCGGTGAAATATAGCCCTTACTCTGTAGAATGCCCAATCGAAAAAGGAAAACCGCTTGCCCCTGTTAAAACCTTTATCGATATAGGTACTTACTTACTTACCAATTATCCTCATTAGGCAGAAGGCAACAGCCACTTCATTATGGCTTCACGCACATTAAATGTAAAATCTACCTCTATTAACCTCTGTTAAAGTGGCATAAGACACCAGTGTGTAGCTTGACAAGCTGTTCCTATTCACTTGAATTTCCCGTAGGCGACGCTCCTGGCAAGCCGATATCCCCGCGCATGCGGCGCACTATGGAGCGTGTAGAAATGCTGGCGAGGCCCACCGCGCGGCGCCTGCGCTCGCTGTGGGACGAAAAGTGCGCCATCTTGCCCAAGGAGCGCCGGGACAAGATCAAAAGCGCTCTGGAGGAGGAGTACTTCTTGAGTCCTGAGTTAGTGTTTGTACAAAAGAGGGTTGTTGTGACCTAGTTTCGACGGCTTGCTGTCGGCTTGATGATAGAGCCAGGTGCCATGCTTTGCACTACGAAGCTGGTTATAGCTCAAGACGTGCCTGCTCTCGCTATGGTAAGAGAAGTGCGCCATCTTGCCCAAAGAGCGCCGGGACAAGATCAAGAGCGCTCTGGAGGAGGAGTACTTCTTGAGTCCTGAGTTAGTGGGTGCTGTAGTAGAACTATTCATGGCCCAATATTAAGTATTGTCTTGATAAGCTAGGCGTCATGCTTTGCATTGCGAAGCTGGTTACAAGCCATGAGCTTTGCAAGCCGATGCCATGTTGCACTTTGCCATGCTCTTGAAGTCGATTGCAGACTAAACTAAAGCTATTTTCTATAAGTGTGGTCTGCATACAAGTATGGGACACACGTTAGCTATTGAGCTAAAGTAACTAGTAATCAGCAATATCTAATGCCGTATTCTATACAGACAAACGGAACAATATTTCCAAGCGCTGACGGAGTCGTCGCGGCGCTGGTCGGGCCCCGGCGGCATGGTGGTGCGCAAGGAGCACGGCGAGAAGTCCAAGGATCTGCGCCTGAGGCAGAAGTGGCTCGTCAACTTTAGCGCTCAGGTTCAATCATTTAAGACCTAATTCGGTGGTTAGAAACTATCAGGACTAGGATGCGTGCCATGATAAACGTTTATAAAGGCATTTTGTCGATTTTACGCAATAAGCCCATACATTTATGACGTCTAAAATCGTCGAGAAGATTTTATCACGGCGTACATCCTGCGGCTGGTTATACTACAGGCCTTGTAGGTACGACGGACGAACGAAAGTACCTCAGGCTAACACTGCGGCATTTTGTAGCACTAATGTACGATGGTTTCCAGATTGTGGGTGGTCTATAACTGAGACAGATTCTCTTACATTTTATGGATCTTAATATCTCCTGCATGTTTTCCGTGAAGGTGGCGTACCGTCTCTGCGACTACATTGCCAAGGGCCAGAAGGAGATGCTGGTGTCGAACAGGTTACGGAGCATCGCCGATGTCGTACTTGAGAGAGTCGCTGAAATATTGGGTTAATATTAACTTGTTAAATTCACAATCGCATTCTGAAATTCACAGTATTACGACTCCAAGAAACAGAATATTTTTTGAATTTATATAACATTCTTGATAATTAACGTTGCAAGTTTAGAAGCAGCAAGTTGTAAGTAGGAAAGCGATAAAAATGACTCCAGCTTTCAGGGGGTTACCAGCTATGGTTATCAGGTAAGTGCCAGAATAAGGCATTATTGTCAGCAGAAGTAACTTTATTTGTTTAGTAAAAGGTCTCATTTTTTTTTGGTGGCAGACATAGAATGACTTGACGACCGTATATCACTGGCTTAAACTACTGGTTCTCAAACCCTCCTTTTGCCAGCTTATGAGCAAGTTAACCTGATAGCCGTACCTTGCTTTATTAATGCTTGCTTCTCAAATTATGCTCTGCTTTTTCCAACTAATTATCAATTACCAGGGGAGCCGAAGCCGTCCCGCACTCACCCTGGCCGCCTGGCCCGCTTCATGGTGGCCATATCCGACCGCATCGCCGTCTGGATAGAGAACGCCGTGTACCGCGCCGATGCTCTGGAACCGAGAGAGTCCGGGATGACTGACGAGCATATGAGGCTCGATGCGGAAAAACCACTCGTATGCTAGTGCTGGAACGTCAATTTTACAGTGTCAGGTAAGAAAAATAACTAAAGCGAAAAACTCACTAAGGCTCTTTCTACCAAAACGGAGAGTGGTGAGGTGATATGGAAATAACGAAATCTGATTTCGTTGCGGGTCCAAATGGTAGGAAAAGGGGGAAAGTCCAACTTTCCCCCGGGACAAACTTGACCTTAACTGGTTGGGTTTTTACTGTGGCGGGCCAGTTGTAGATCCTGGCCACACAGGAGTTGAAGCGGTGGGGACGAGCAGTGGGAATAGTCCCGTATCATTTTGGCTCGCTTCATGGTGGCCATATCCGACCGCATCGCCGTCTGGATAGAGAACGCCGTGTACCGCGCCGACGCCCTGGAACCGAGAGAGTCCGGCATGACTGACGAGCACATGAGGCTCGATACGGAAAAACCACTCGTGTGCTAGTGCTGGAAAGTCCATTTTACAGTGTCAGGTAAGAAAAACAACTAAAGCGAAAAACTCACTAAGGTTCTTTCTACCAAAGCGGAGAATGGTGAGGTGATATGGAAATAACGAAATCTGATTTCGTTGCGGGTCCAATGGTAGGAAAAGGGGGAAAGTCAAACTTTCCCCCGGGACAAACTTGACCTTAACTGGTTGGGTTTTTACTGGCGGGCCAGTTGTAGATCCTGGCTACACAGGAGTTGCAGCAGTGAGGACGAGCAGTGGGAATAGTCCCGTATCATTTTGGCTCGCTTCATGGTGTCCATATCCGACCGCATCGCCGTCTGGATAGAGAACGCCGTGTACCGCGCCGACGCCCTGGAACCGAGAGAGTCCGGCATGACTGATGAGCACATGAGGCTCGATACGGAAAAACCACTCGTGTGCTAGTGCTGGAAAGTCCATTTTACAGTGTCAGGTAAGAAAAACAAATTTAAAGGGAAAAACACACTGAGGCTATAGGCGGTCCGGTAGCAGATTGTACCGCTATCGCGGTTTCTCTATAGGAGGGTGCATAGCAACTAAAACTAGCTAACTTAGTGTGTTGTGAGCTTCACAGTAATTAAACAGATAATGAAAGAACCAATTACTACCCAAATTCATCATGTATGGCAAAATCATGCATTTAATACGAATAGCAATGTACTTACATACGAATGAAATTGAATTTGCGACCTGGGTTACGACACGTTTTAAGCGACCAAAATCCGAGAAAAGCCACTGTAGAAGCTAGTAGATGTAAAGAATTTCCGCAGTAATGTAATCTATAGTATAGAGTATATTTTATGGCCTTGAAATATTTTTCCGGTATCTTTTAACTAACATAATATTATGAAATTATATAATACATAATGTTATTTAATAACTGCGGTACTTATGTAAACAACAAGATCGTACGATGACTACATGCATTATACATGGGCACACCCACTTTTGATCCAGTTTTAATCATTCTCATTGCCGCTTAGGTATCTATATTTATATCGCAGGTTATGGCTCAGACCTAATCTTACAGATTAGCAAATAATCTATATAATTTACTAAAAATAACTTGATTTCAATTTAAACACTCAAGTCGATTGATATAACTTATTCATATTTACGGTGATACTGTTCGAGTAGAATCTCGATCTTAGGTATCAAAGTAAATAGATATGAATATAATTTAGGTTAAAATATTGATATTGTTTACACAGGGAGCGAACACTAAGGACACATTCGGCATTTTCTTTTCAACATTTTAAATAGATTCAAATGCGAGTGGAACCGTAGGCCTAGGCTAGTGTTATAATAACCTAACAACCAGATGATTGGTCATTACTATGCAGCCTTTGTGTCAAGTTGTCATACTAGGTATAGCTGAATATTCATGTATTCAAATACCTTATTAGTCTGCATTATTGTCTAGTATATCCATATTTTTATTGGTCTTTGTAACAATAAATAATTCAAGATAGGCCTTAGAAACCGTTGTTATAGTTAAATAGCAGAAAATAGTTAATTCATAAATTATTGTTTATTTAGGTAGCGACTCTAATGCGTTGAAGTCTTTTCAAGCCTACGAAATCCTTCGTAGCGAAGCCGTAGCAGCCAAATAATTTGCGTTGCAATACTTTTGGCTACATGAATAAACTATTACAGTAGTTGTAACTAGAGATGTGCCGTTGTTAAGGAGTTGTACCTTCCATTAACATGGGATGATGACTAGCTGATGCAAACACCCAAATAACTTTAGAAACTATACTTATATATACTGGTTAAAGAATTGTCCTCCAACTCCTAAGCCTTAAGGAGTTGTACTTACCTTCCATCATCAGCTCATCAATGTGAGATGATGATTTACAGACTCAAATATTTGAGTAACTTAAGAAAAAGTACAAAAAACAATATTTATAGTGCCTCGCGTTCGCACTTTCAGCCACCCTAAAAGCTGTCTGGCAAGGCGAAGGAACCATCGGAAGTGTCTGGCTGATGAGGGAACTTCATCAAATGATAGTTCAAATATTTTATGTAAATATCAGCTTTTATAGTATGACGTAAGTAGGACTACATTTTCATGAACTTTAAGGTGTCTGGCTAAGGTCTGTCACCATGGTAGGTGTCTGTCAATGACTGACGTCATTTCTAATAACATTTTGAAGGAAATATCAAAAAATCTGCCTTTATACTTTGACGTAATTAAGTTGGTATTTTACACACCTTTAGTACCGTCTGTCTGCCAAAGCCACCATGACCCAAACTTCATGTTTGGCCATGGTTCTTAGCTATGTTGGGAGCATGTGCTGACAAACTTTCAGCCTTTATAAAATAACGTAGGTCTGGCGTTCACTAGCTCTTAGTCTATATCCACAACTTATCCAGAAGTAGCTAAACAGGCCCTTACTAAGCGATTGTGAAATATGCCCTTAATGTCAAATAAGAATAGTTTAAAAAACTAATAACACGCATTTAATTACTAACAGCACTAAAAAGCCAAAAATCATCAGGACCCTGGACATCATCTAGCATTATAATAATAATAATAATTTTTTATTTCAGAAAAAAAATATTTTCCATAGTGGGTTAGTAGTTACAGATGTACTTATAAGCTAGTGTTAGTAATTAAAACAAAGAGAGAGGAAAAAGAAAACCTAACCTACTTTACATTTACCCGAGCAGGTCTCGAGCCGACATGGACGCTGTTCCAGTGTCTCAATATAGGACAGCAATAGCGACTCCCTATCGCCGCCAGGAGGCTGTTGGAGCTGTCTCGGACGCGGCTCCACGCGGAGGCAACCCGCTTGCGCATGACGACTGGGAAACTGTCTGCATTAAAGTGCTCGTAAAGACAAATCCAACGAACTCAAACTCGATGAGTTTCCGCCGTTTCGCTTAGGAGTTCCTATGGCTACCTCCTGACTCCATCATTAGGACCCTGAACATTATCTAACACTTAAAGATCTCGAAAAGACATCCAATGAACCCAAACTCGATGTGATTCCGCCGTTTCGTTTAGGAGTTCTTTTGGCCACCTTCCAGTTCCATCATCAGACCAGCTGGTACCACAATATTGTATTGTCATTTCTAATCTACATATAATTTCCAAGTTTAATTATGATACAATACTTAAAAGTGCGTGTAATTCAGATTCTAAGATTCCATTACATAGTTAGTTACATACACGACGACCTAATAAGAGCGTGTTAAAAACGAAAAAATGGACAGTTAAATTATTTAATTACGTGTAAAAAGAAATTTCTGTCATCTTACATATCATTAAAACGACATTTCACCACGAAAAAAATAAAATATAATAAAGGTGCAGTTGCCAAGAATATTGCCGAGAAAGTTCCCGAGAATATTCTCGGGAACACTGAGAATATAGCCTTTCACTGCAAATAGAGTGTATTGTTTAATATACACTTATCTGTTGACTTAATTTAATACTATTTTACTTAAGAAAGTTTGTTTATTTTCATTTGATAAACATGATTCTCAACCTTTCTCACTTAGGAGAACGCTCCCGGGAACGCTCCTGAGAATATTCTCAGCTGAGAGAGCGTTCTCGGTAGAGCATGAATATCGGAATCTCGGAATCTCGTAATATCGGAATCTCGGACTGCGAGATCCGATATTTCAATTCCGATATTGAGCGACCCAATATCGTAATATCGGAATCAGATAAAAGTTTTAATTGAGATTTTAAACAAAGCGTTTAAACTCGCCACAACCTGCCACAAAGCCCAAAGTACATTGGCAATAACCAATAATTTTCTCATGTCTCTCACCATCACTTTTTGTTCCACTGCAAATATTTTAATATCTTTACTATTTATGGTTAATTTAACTTGTTCTAAATCAATTTTAGCATTTCAAATCAAAATTAGCAGCTCCTCATTTCTGATTAGATCTCGTAAAGAAACACCAAGCTTATCCCTCTCCATAGCACGTTGTGCCCTATATTCAAAGGCCACGTTTTCGAGCCGTATATCACTAATTGAAGACTTTTGTCTTCGTATTCGACAATTTACCTCTTTCTCGAAATTGCATCTATCTACCTAGCTGATCGTTTGTCCGAGATAGACATACTTACTTGTCAACAATCTCGAGAATCGAGCTCCTAACCGAAACTGGTTAAGGAGCAACATGGACATTCGACATAAGCTTCGTTTTTTCCATATTCATCCGAAGGCCTACCTGTTGGGAAACTCGATTAAGGTCTTCGAGCATTGTGATAAGGTCTTCCAACGGTTCTGCCTTAGTACGCAAAACAGACGGACGAGCAAGGTTATGAAGTGGAGGCCACGTACCGGAAAGCGCAGCAGACTCATAACCACAAGGTGGACCGACGACCTCATAAAGGTAGCAAGAAGGTGCTGGATGCAGGCCGCCACCAACCGGCCATTGTGAAAATCAGCATCGGAGCCTGTGTTCAGCACTGGACGTCCTATGGCTGACATGATGATGATGATGGCTTGTGGTTTTGTGAGTTGTACATCGATAATAAAAAAGGAACAAATTACAAGCATATTCAAGTTTATTACCACTCTCTACAATTTTTGTAACACTTGATTTGAATGACTCTAAAATTCGTTCCGCCAACATAAAACAGGGTAATATAATGAAGGAGTAAAAGTTTGTTTGATACCTGTGATTTTACAAAAACACTTTAATTATTTGCTAGTCCATATAAGCTTATTATCAGTAACCATTCATTATCAGGTGATCCGTCTGCTCGTTTGCCTCTTGTCACATAAAAAACCAAATACAATGGATACCCATAACGTAAAAATGGTTTTAAAATACTTCAATTTTATGAAGTGCTGTTTTGTACCAAATTAAAGATTTTGATTAAAATCATTATTTTATTGTAAACAATCCAGAATTCTTACGAATATAACCAAATATTAATTTTATAGCACATTAACTCAATTCCGATATTAATATCGGAATTCCGATATTCCGAGATCTAATATCGGAATCCAGTATCGGAATTGAAAACCTTTCGATATTACATGCCCTAGTTCTCGGGAACGGCACAACATACAACATAGTGTGTCAAGGAACTTTGATTTAAGGAAGTATAGTTCTTGCAATTCACGAAGGCGAGTGATCTTTACATGTGTGGTGGCTCGCTATTGATCGTTTTTCAATAGTTTTTATAGACATTACACAATTTTTATGCGTATGTACTTCTATATCTATATTATTTTACTATATCTCCAGAGTTGAAACCTTCTTGACAACAATACTGCCATCTTTAATTACTGGCAAGTGGACAAACTAGATTTGGACTTTATCTCATGCGTAAATAATAATTATTATCTCTGTTTAAAATGTTAGCTTTCTAACGTTAATAAACGTTGACATTGAATCATGGGCGGGAAGTATGTCCACTTTGTACACAGTATTAATATTAACGAGGGACTGGTATGATAAGAAGTCTGCTACATTGTTGTATTGGAAAATTAATGTTTTTATTTATTAGAATCTAGAATGGACCTGAAATTGTTTTTTGATAATTCTTGGGGAAGAAGTTTTAGCTTAATTTTTGTTGAACTTTTTCAAGACCTTATTTATCCGCAGCTTGACAGGTTCAGAGCTGAATGTTATTGCAATACTTCGAATCATTTTACAGTAGGCCTACTGATTCAGACTCGGTCTACTAAATATTAATGCTAATGGTTTGCCTTAGAAGCTCATTTTCACTTAGTCATTCAACTGACAGTTATGTGAAATGTATTTTTCTCTGACACCTATTTGCAGATTGTTTGTTATTTATTCAGAAGTTAGATAGCAATGTGACCATAAACTGGTTCATTACAATTCAATATATATCTCATTGAATTTCTATGCCACACTTATGTAACAAAGTCACCGATATGTCCTATTTGTTCTTCATTAATAACAAGTTAAAATGCTGTTTTGTATAAGTATTTTTTTTGAATATTTGGTTATAGGTCGCTGAATACATGTATGGTAATTTTCTGTTTCACAATAAATTTACAGTTACACATTCAGTAAAAAACTTTTTGAAACACTCTGATGAGCAACGATATTCAAATCGACTTTGATGATTAAGTAGTGATTTTATGTAATCAATTAATCATAATGAGTCAAGTCTAGAATCGCAATGATATAAATGCCGTTTACGTTTATTTGGATGGAGATACTTAATTTCCTTACATAATGTAATATAGATGATCTATAATTGAAGAACTACATCTTTACTTTTGACACAGAAGATAGAATTATGCTCTGAAACGACGCTTACGCCCGTATTCACAAATATTACTATGAGGTCTCACAGTGCGCGTGGACGCACAGGGTCGCACACGAACCTACCACAGAGCTCGATTCAACGCTGTGCGTTCGATTTGCTGCTTCACTTTGCAAGCATCGTTTGTGAATATGGATGTTAAAACTCAAATTCAAGACTGGGAAAGGGTTTTAGATTGAGTTTCTAAACTATTCTTGAGGGTACATTCACACTCTTTTCAACTCCAACTGATTCTTTGGATCACCGCAATTAGTTTTTCTTAATATTTAGCATACTATAATATTCTTGATCCTTATTAGATTGCCAAGGCGCTACAACCATCTGTTCCCTATCACAGTCAGTGCAATTATGAACGTCACCATATCTGGTCTGAATAATTATCACCTCATTTTTTATCTAGACAGGAATTTTCATTAGTTATTCAGATAAGCGACCTTTGGAGCGTCTAGGCACGCCTAGGGATAAGATCTAGGCGAATCAGCTTTGTTGACGACCTTCTAGGGCAGTATATATGCGCTGGGCTTCCGTAGGACTGCATAGTTTGCACTCAGAAGGCTGACAAGCAGTTCTAGTGAGAAACCAACCAATCTACCCTCAAAATGAAATACGTAGTGAGTTGAATTTTCTTAGTTTATTGTTGCAAAAGAGTCGGTGATTTCTTTTTATCATTGTTTATCCATATTCAACTGGTTCTAATGTTTATCCATATCAAAGGAGCTAAGCTTGCGGTTAAGCTTGCAGAAATTCTTAAGAAAACTGTCTTAGGACAGTCACTTTTATATTACAGACGATAGCACATCAGACTTCTGACATTTTTGTTGCAAAATTGCCTCTATTACTAAGGTAATAAGAAGCCACCATATTCAGCTTCACGTGCTGTCGTCTGGACTTTATAAGATAGCAGCTTTCCAAGAAAATAATTTCGAATCAACAGTCCCGAGGATTGTCTCCTGTGAAAAGTAAAGTTGCTGATATTTTGTTGCTAATCAAAATACAACATCATTAACGTATTTATTTCCAGGTGATCCTCCTTCTCGTCTGCGTGGCCTTCGCCACTGCCGCTCCCCAACTGCTGACCACGTGGCCCGGCTATGGTGGCATCGTCGCCCCAGCGGTCGCTCCCTACGGCAGGGTGAGTTAACTTTTTTAAGTAAAATCAGTGTGCTTATAGTGCGAGTTGGTATAAGCCTAGGCGCAGACCACCGACTTTTAGTTGGCCGATAGTTGGGCCCGATTTTAATTTGTATGAAGAAACGGCCGATACCAAATCGGTATAATGTGCGCACTTTCATACAATATCTCCATACTGATTAACAGCCCGATCCAACTATCGGCTAACTAAAAATCGGACAACGGCGAACAACAAATAACATGAAATGTATGATAGATTGTACAGCGTCTCTAGCGGATACTTTCAAGAACTAATTTTTTGACGCACTCGCTAGCGATGACATTTAATGTAAATTCGCACTAAACACTCTGACCTAAAATGTCAAGGGATATGATACCAAGATTTTTACTTTATTTTTTTATTTTACAAACTGATTTAGCATTAGGTACCTACTTATCTTTTTTGTAATAAATGGTTATGTAAGTGTGTAAGTGCACATTCCACTGAAAAAAAAAGGCTAGTGAGTTGTATGTCATATGAGAATTGGATCATCAAACGGAAGACGAAGAATAATGATTCAGCAAATTCTTATCAGCTACCTTTCAATTGAGCTCTCAGACAAGCGCTATATTTGCTAGAGATCTTATCGTCATCTTTAGTGCTATGTTCTTTTTACTGGAGAATCAATTCTTGAGATAATGCTTGGCGAAGGCAATATCCTTCTTTTTTTCTGAGCGCTTGATTGAAGCGATTGTCTATACAATCTCTATAGATTATAACGAGATATTTGGTGCTGTCTAAGACCGTTCTCAAATTTACACTAGGCGCAGACCACCGATTTTTAGTTGGCCGATAGTTGGGCCCGATTTTAATTTGTATGAAGAATCGACCAAATCTAATCGTGTCATCATGACACGACCCCCCTAGTATGAAAAAATATTTTGCGACTCCACGACCGCTCGCTTTTTTTATGCATTTTATAATGTTACAAAGATGTTGTAGGAACCGAATATTTCAATCCATACAACATTTTATGCATTTTGCATTATTCTATTACAGATAAATCTATCTTTATAACTTTACTATTTTTTTTACTGAGGTAGTTTTTACGAACTCTGGCATCCCCCCTATAGAGGCTTGGTGACCACACAGGGGGTCGCGACACACTGGTTGAAAAACACTGAACTTGAGGATAACGTATTTTAAGGCCTTATTATCAAAATTTCTTCTTCTCCAGACCCTGGTAGCTGGTCCGACCGTGGTGAACGGCTTGGCAGGGCGCTACATCGCCCCAGGCTACGTCGGCACGTACTACTAACCAACTACCCTCACTGGCTCATGACTTCACGATCTGTAAATACTGACCTTTGTACAAATTACATGTATCCGTTCTAGTTGGAGTTTATTTTTCAACCCTTTTTCTTCCCTAAATCTGGTAGGTAGATAAATTAAACCTAGTGATAGCAGTGTATTAGCAGATGATTTTTTCCGGCTATCAAGTGAAAAACTCTTTTAAGACCATAATATTTTCATATTTTAGACTAGCTTTAGTCAGTCTCTAAAAATTTAATTATACCATCTTTACCTCCTTTGTATTGATCGTTAACAAAAAACATCCAACTTGTATTTAAGCTTTTCTACCAAAATAGAAATATACAAAGTTATCAGAAAGTATTAATTATAAAACGACTTGATACATACATAATTAAAATTGGACACTAGGCGTTACCTAAACGTTTTTCTAAAACCACAAAATTCTTCTGTTGCGTGAACCAACAGAAGAACTTTACATGAATACTTAGCTATTAAAAAGCTCATTACAAAAAGTTGGGAAGTGCCAAATTACCTAACATTTTAATTTAAAAGCCTGAGAAAGTAAGATCATGTGCTGTCTGATCGCGGCGACACCGTTTGTACATTTATACATTTGCATGTCGAGCGGAATGTCAAATACGCTAGAATTTTTGGAAACACTATGACTGAATTTACGCGAAAACTGAATGTTTTCTTAAGAGAACGATACTACAATGACAATAGCATTGTATATGGTTGTAATAATTTAATTGGCAACAAGAATGTCTAGTCTGTGTTGTAGAATATGGACTGTAAAATGTTTTAAACTTTTATATTATTCTTGTATCATTTACTAGAGACACTTTTTGAATTAGTTGATATAAATTAAACCATTTACGTTACAATAGCCGATGGTCTCAGAATCGAATTGCCGATTCCAAGGTCGCTGGCTCTGACAACAGCTGGTTGTTGTGAACTTACTCTTAACACAAGCATTTAATAAGCCTACATAATATAGATTACGTTGAGGGATAAACGAATATTATTTTAGCATTATCACTATGACTTCCTATGATCAGGCGTTATATCATCGCACTATTGAATACTAATACCACATTCATTAATCTTTATGAAGTCTTCATAAGTGTAGATATTCCTAAGTAATGGCTAAATAACGAAGTGGTTACGCTTAGATTAGGTAAAAAGGCAATTAGTTACTGTATTCAAGCACCTGACATAAATGATTATGTGAAAATTAGTAATTTTTGCCGATGTAATATTTGATGTATAGTCATGTTACCTATGTGCTGTATAACCATTTACTTTTGCGAAGACTTTTAGTGAAGACTAGCATTAATATATTACTGCACAGCATAAGGTGTATTTTGTGTAACATGGTCATCATGGTAGAATAGACTTATTATCTACTAATAAGTTACTTCGTAAAATAAAGAAGCACCGAAAATACAGAACCCGCGAACTATATTTTTGTGAAATTACCTAGAATAACATTAGGCAAAGACTGTTTTCAAAGTGAATCCAATAAGATCACATTAATTTGTCTTTGTAAAAATAAAAATTACCTAATTCCAAGTTTATGTCTAGAACATAACAAACAACTAGTACTTCAATGAACAGTATTCGTTCTTAATCTTTACTTCCACCTTTTAAAGACCCCTGACAATAATGTATAAAACATAATAAAAGACTAACTATTGTGTGGTTACAACAGACGCGAAAGTTTAAAAAATGTGGCTAAACGATCTCAAATTGCATTCCTAGAGAACAAAGTAGAGTTATATCAGACTCAATGAATGAAAAAAAAAAACAATAACAATGTAATTTACCTTATGCAATTTATTTGTGGCCAAGCAGTTTGTGTGGAAGCTTCGTTTTTAGAAGTGGGGACTTGTGAATCACCTGATGGTATATCATCCATGGACATTAGCAAAATTTGACAGTAAGCAGCACATCAAATCATACACTTTTTCGTAGCAAAATCGCAACTATAACAGCTACCTAAGATGCCACGGTTTTTAGTTTAATGTGCGGTCATCTCTACTTGAAAAGCTGAATGGGTTTATATTTTTGGTCTTGTTTTGTTTATAACGTTATTTTTAAAGTAAAGGGTGCTCGATTGTGCCTCTGGCAAAATCCGTTGGCATCAGTAAAATATCGACTACTGTAAACTGTTGTTACTTACTTCTCTCGATTATTTTTTTGGTTTCTGTGAGGTGATTTACCGTCAGTAGCCGCAAAAGAGACAATTATTTATGTGGTCACCGGCTTTCGCTTGCGGTCACCGAAAATTGTACTACACAATGTGTACAAATTTGGGATAAAGGTAAGCCTTAGTACGCGTAACTAAAAATATAATCTTACAGCGTTTTTGTGTGAAAACATAAAAACAACTGCATTAGGTTACAATTATATTTTCATACAAGACTTGCTGCACATGTAAAGTGCAAAAACCTTTTATACATCCCAAAATGGTTTAAGAATTAAGTGTCAGTAATATGGAATTTAACAGTAAATAAAATAAATACCTAATTGGTTAAGTAGGTAAGCTAAATATAGCTAATATATTTACACAGTTAATGGCTTCACATACAACAAGGCATAATCATGTAAACTTTATCTATAACATCCATAAAACTCCAGCCGTAAGCCATTGAAGAAATGTCCGAAAGTCACATAATTTTATTTACTGTGAGACTTCAACGTTATCTCACCTCACGCACCAATTTGTCTTAACGCATGTCCGTTAATGCCTTTTAAGTTTGAGCAAAATTACTTATAAACTTGTTTTCTTCTTTAAATTCCATTATGTCATCGTTAATAACCAGTACAGTCGGTAACAAAAAGTATAGTCATATAAATTGGTACACTTGTGTGGAAAGGTAAAAAGTATTGGCAGTTTTTGGCGTTGACTGTATGCAGGCCGCAAGTGATAGTAAAAGTGTTCTCTGAAAAAAGACCTAAAATGCAAGCGAGTTTTGTAAAGATCACTCTGCACAACATCGTGTTCTGCTGGTGCAGTTATAAACTTAGTCTCTAAGGAATAAGGTCTAGTTTACGTTAGGACTTAAGATATCTTCATTCCAGTTATGTAACGGAGGGACGAATGGCTTTGGAAAGGTATCGGAAGTATTATGATGGCCTACATACGTGCCGATGTAATCATAAACTACAAAACAATTGTACGGAAGTGTGACTCTGGGAAGGGATTGTGTTTGTATCATGTTGGAATCAATAAATACTTGGAGGTGCACGAACAAAACGCTTATTATTTGTGATTAATGTGATTCGTGTCCTATAAAGAACACAAGATGTAGAGCGTGCACTCACAATGCACTGGTGTATCATAAATGAGACATTATGATGTCAAGTATTTCCGTCTTCTCTTCGTGCTTCTTTTCACATTTGAGCGTTTTGCATGACTCAGAAAGTGTCATTTTAGCTTCAACAATGTTTTTCATGACTCAGGTTCTTAAAAACATTGTTATAACTGTAATCTGCACTGCCACCTGCGATTTTGATCTATGATAGAGATTTTATCACACCTGCTACGATCCAAATCGCGATCATTCAATTTATACTCTTATGAAACACAAATGCCTTTAATTTTGCACTAAAAACGTTGGTAAATACTAATTAAAAGACACCTTTGCAATGAAAAAAAGAGCAAATGCGAACTTAATGCCATACGAAATTCACTCGAAGTCAACCCTTGAACAGAGCAGAAATAAAGTCAGTTCAGAGGTTTAGGCATTAAACCTTAGCTAACATAATTACTTTCAGATCGGTAATTTTGTATAGAATTGTCATAAACATAATTTATGCGGTAGTTTCCCTCTATATTCAAAGGCCATGATCAAGCAGAATTATTATTGTGATTTATGAACTATTTGATTTCCATAGAATTAAATTATGTTATTATAAGCACAAAGGTTATATAAACATGTCTTAAACAAATCCTATTAATTAGATAATATCACAAATTGGCTATTAGTGGCAAATTGGCAATTGAAAGTGTCACTTTGGCTCCTTTTACTAATGGTATAGTTTTTATTAAACCGGTTGTAAGTAGAGCGTTCAATCAAGGCTTTAAGCAAGATGATGTAAATGAAAGCAAATGCAGTAAAACTTGTTGCTTCAATTTTAACTCAAATTGTAATTAAAAGTGCTAAACTACAATTATGCTGCCTAAGATCATCATTCTAATAATAAAACATGAAAATACTTCCGACTTAGAATATTTCAAATACGGCAACCTACTTATAGCCTTTTTTATCAAATAACACAAAAACTTTAGAGTGTATTACTCAGAAATAGCTTCAGTTAGTTTAAGTTTAAAGCAATTCAGAGCCATTTCAGAATACGACTCTACATCTAGCGTGTTGATAGCTACAAAATTAAATAGAATCTATACTAAAATGTGACGGTTGATTAGTTTCTGGACTGTGTATGAGAGAGTCTACTGACTGCTTTCGACTTCAATTGTGATGTTATGGTTCATATCCAGTGATCACATAATACATAATGTTTGATGGATGCCTACCATACAGTTCAGTTGCGGTGGCTAAATGTTGTAATCGACATCCGACTACCACTATGAACGTGTGTGATGTGGGAATTATATTTTTATTATATGTAGTTGTTACAATTTTTTAGTATCTGATGAAAGGAAGTACAGGTTAATAATGAATTAAATTTTAACTTATTTCGATTATTACTGGGTAGGCTGGTTTTATGTAAGTAATCCATTTTAATCTAGTTTTGATTCGAATCGAGTTCAAATTCAAATTGAGATTTTAATCATACACAACAACTGATGTTGTTTAAAAGGTGCCTTTAAACAGGCAAGTAGGTAATTGAATTGCTGCATTATGGATTTATGGGCAACTTTGCCAATCATGATTTCACGGGAAGATGAACCACAATTAAAAATAATAGGCAGTTCTACAAGAGTTGGTGATAAACACACTTTTGTCTCCATTCGAAAATCTGTTCATTACTCTAATATTGTTTAATGTTTAATTCTACCTTTAAGCTATCGTTAGTACTTATGTATAGAGATTAAAAATACGCGGAAATGTCA